AGATAGATACTTGGATATCCCCGCCGGAAAGTTGCTTTAGTGGTGCCAAATCCCTAAAAAGCTTCTACCAAAAAACATTTTTCAGGTGACTTATCAGTATCTATTTCGCACGTTCCGTTACGTTTCCGGTGTTTGCACGGTTGAACTGCACCGTTTGACGTCTCCCATCCCCGCCTCAGGTACCCGGGAGGACACGGCGACGTCACGATGGCCAATGACGCGCTCAGCGGCACCCTCAACGACTGGTCCAAGAGGAAGGTGGAAAAGAAGACGACGCCCTCGGTGCGCGACTGGCGCCGCCGGAGGCCGGTGGTGCGCCGACACCACCGCACCAGCCGCGCTACTGCACCAGGTCAGTCGGTAGGGCGTCAGGTCAGCCACGCTACCGCGCCAGGTCAGTCGGTAGGGCGTCAGGTTAACCGCTACCGCGCCAGGTCAGGCGATAGGGCGTCAGGTCGGCTGCGCTACCGCGCCAGGTCAGGCGATGGGGCGTCATGTTAGCCGCGCTACCGCGCCAGGTCAGCCGATAGGGCGTTAGCCGTTCAGTCAGCCGCGCTACCGCGCCAGGTCAGCCGATAGGGCGTCAGGTCTGGTGCTAACTGCGACCGCTTCTGGTCGGTTACAGCAGAACTACATCCGGCCATGTTGGAGCATTGTGTACGCACGTGACGTAAAAGCTGTTTTTATTTGTTGTTACTTTACTTATTACGTGATGTTCCTAACTTATCTTATTATCTTATTTGATCTGTTTTCTTATTAGGGTGTTGCACTGGTTCACTGCACCCTGATTGATCTTAATTATAAGCCGATCAATGCCTAGTTCTCTTTACTTCATCAGACTCATTTCACGTTGGATTTTCACTCACATTTTTTTCATTTTACGACACCATCTGACCGTTGATCTGTCCGTCCAGGCTTCGGTTACGTGGAGACGATTCGTCTGAGGGAGTACCCGGAAATCAACATAGACGCCCGCTACTGCGCACCGGACCCGCTCAATTTCAACTGCGTCAACAACGTGGGCGGCAACTTTACCTTCTATATCCCCGTGTCGCGCCACATGACCAACCAGATGCTGCACCTCGAGCTCTCGTGAGTGATCTGAGGGTCATGAGAGGGCTGATTAGTGGCATAGGGTGCCGGGAATATATTATATTGGTTTTTGAATAGCAGGCTAAGTTGAGTTTATTGGCGTTTATATTGGGATTATTGGATGATTAGCTCACTATGAGGCGGGAATAACCACCGTGGACATTTTTCAGCGGCATCCTGTTGTTAATTGTTGGCTGGCTCAGCTAGCGTGAAATAATGGGCAGGCTTAGAGCTCACTACGATGACATCATCTAAATCAATGGCCGACACGTACTGTAGCGAAATACCCGTCTCAAAGCTTGTCTGTCGAGGCTAGCTTGTGTTTCCTTCGTCTGCTTTCGAACATTTCCATTAAGCTTACAATATTCCTCATCCCTCTGAATCCGGCAAGCTATGTTACCACATCTAACTAACGTGCCGTCCTGTCTGTTTGAACTCTCATTTCTGTGCTCTCCGATGAGCCGGTCACCACGACTCACCCCTCCCCTCTGCCCCAGGTACGCGGACGTCTTACCCCTCCCCTCTACCTCCGGTACGCGGACGTTTCACCCCTCCCCTGTACCTCAGGTACGCCGACGTCTCACCCCTCCCCTGTACCTCAGGTACGCGGATGTCTCACCCCCCCTCCCCTGTACCTCAGGTACGCGAACGTCTCACCCCTCTCCCGTGCCTCAGGTACGCCGAGCCTGTGGCGCCGGCGCCGGTTCAGTGCCGCAGTCAGCTGCCAGCGCTGCCCCAGGCCTGCGTCGGCCAGGCTCCCGGCGACCTCCGCCGGCGTCTCCAGCAGCCGCTGCGCAGTGGAAGTGTGGCCGGTCAGCCCGTCTTCGTGGTACCTCTAGATGCCGGCCGCTGGCGGCAGAGGACGTACACCCTACGCATCGCCGCCAAGTACTTCCCCGACCTGGTGAGTTGAGTCGGGGGAAGGATAACGGTAGGGGACTCGAGCAGACGTAGGGGTAGTTTGGAGGCTGGAGCTTTGGTAGACGTAGTGTAGAGTAGAACCAGTCGTGGTGTAGAGAAGAGTCAGTCGTAGTGCGCTAGTTGCAGTAGTTGCCCGAACTTTTTTTTTTAAGCGAAACATTTATCTCATTTTCATCGCTCTTAAGGCGCAGTGTATACGACAGCTTTGACTTTCTTCTAGTTATTATTCGCTCTCGTTCGGCTGATTTCATCAGCATTGCTGTTTCCTAGCAGCCTCTCTGCTCAGCGCCCTATTTGCTGCCAGATGACTATCGCTAGCTAGTCTGTCGCTAACAGTAGCGCTTGGCACCTGTTGCAGAACCCCTGTCGCGTCTCGAGCACATTCATCAAGTCACACTTCTTCGAGTACAACTTCATCTTCGAGCGTCAGTGCTCCGAGTAGACCACTAGAGGCGACGGTAGCGCCATCTGAAACCCGTCCCGCGCGCCGACCTCTTACGGGTCGCCCTGACGCGCGCGCGGGCACATACACTAAACAGACAATTGTGGCGGAGAGAGACTGGAAGGCCTCTGTATGACCTACGTGGGTCACTGAGCGCTGCTGCGCCCGCCGGCCGCATCAGGAGCTCGGGCCTCGTCCGAGAGAACGACACCGGCCGCGGAGAGTGTAAATAATATCGGGTGGAACTGTGAGTGTCTGAGTGAGCGTATGGAGCCGAGATCGCACCCGGCAAGAAGTGTACCTTATTGGGAACGAAGCAATATTTATTCTTAAAGTAGGGATAAAGTGTACAAGCAATAATGACAGACGGCCCGGGCCCAGCCACGCGCGGCGCTGGGCCGCTTGTGGCCGAGAGCGACTCGCCGTACCCTGCCGGAGGGTTTGCGAGCGATGGGTCCGAGTGGCGGGAACGCTCGGAGTTTCGCCGTTAGATGTCGTGCCGAGCTCGGCAGAGGTCTGCTGGAGGCCCGTCCGTGCCTCGGGCCGGTCGAGTCGAGTGTTTGGTGATATGTGGGTGTCTGGTGGTGCCCTGTGTATGACTCGACGACTCTGTGTACTTGTTGATGTGTCCGTGTCGAGAGCGGCGGGCGGCTGGGTGGGCAGAGGGGCTCGTGGGACCCGTCGCGGCGGCCGCCCATTCACTGTCGGTAGTCACCCATTCTTGAGGCCTTCATCTCGTGCCTGTATTTCCACGGTGCCTGTAATTCCACGGTGCCTCACGTCTGCTCCGTCCCATAGATGATTCCGGTACGTTCAGACAATGCCGTTACTTTGTTGCCATAGTCATCGTGTGCCATGCGACTCGCGGCCGGCCGACGCGCAGCGCCACCTATGTGCTGTTGTAGGTGGCGCTGCGGTGTCACTACTATCCATTACAGGTGGCGCCCATGTCGTGTTGCCGGCTGTTGTAAATAGTCCCGATAGCAGAGGAGCCCGAGTGCCGGTACGAGCGAACCAACACTGCTCGCGTGCTGCCAGCACTGCTCTTTGACCGGGCTCTTGTGCCGAGTGGCCATCTGCGTGGCGTTTGTTAACATTCCACTTCAAATTTATTGAAGACAGATCCTATAATTACAAATTGAGACATTCTCCAATGGTCTGCATATTATGCAAAATCACTTATTTTTAGCCGCTTTTCGGCCCGTCGTTGTTTTGCTGGTGTTATCAATTTTAAGGGACTTAAAATGATCTCATGGCAATAGAGATTTGGTGATTGTTGTGTTTTAAACTTAGCGTTGCCCATGTGTGTGCTTGTAGTTGCGACTTTAGTCCATGTGTGTGATATATTTTAGGCATTTTAGGAGGAAAGATACGCAGCACGAGCGCCGCTCAGCTCTTCTTGTAGGATATTCTTCTGCTTACATGGATACATTATCTCCATAGAGCTCTGAGAGTAGATCGGATCTGAACATTAGCTGTATAAGTGGTCGGGCTACGTCGGGTTGATTAATACTTTGTAGTCAACTACATGTCTGCGCTTAAAATAAAACGATCAAATATTTCGCTGGTGTGAAATGGCCTTTGAGACCCATGGACTGTTCGCTTTCTTTTGAAACTTCAACAAACTGGAACACTAACTATGCACTTTGTTGATGGTTGCACGGAAAACGAAAGTGTTATTAGCGCTATTTTCATAGCTCTTTTTTTTTAAACACCTACTATCAGCGGGCTGTGAAACAGAGCTCGGAAGCCGGTGGTGGCCAGACGATCCGCCAGACATGAGGTCTTACCTGACCTGACCTTGACCGGCGCCCGGGCAAAGTCAGGGCGGCGGATATCTGCCTAGCAACAGATGGACACTGAGGTAGAGGAAGGTCAAGGCGCGGGGTGGGGTGCGTGGGGCTGGCTGTGGCACTGAATGGTACGCCATGCTACAATGACGAATTGTCATTGTTAGTGCGAGCAGGGTGATGGGCTGTGTCGGTCATTGAGGATTGAGGAATGAGTTGAGTAATGAGTAATTGGTGGGAGTGACATTATGAGACAGTGAGAAGTTCTTGTTTGTCGCCAGTGCCTGGGGATGCAAACACCGTGCAGCTTAGAAGCAGTAAACGGCGAGCGTCCCTGGATGGCATAGAGTTAGCCGGTCTGGTGGCATGACTTCGGTGTTGTCCGAATCAGCACTTGGTAAGTACATATAAAGTGCGTTTTTTTTTTGTGTGTGTGTACATAAACAATCGATATGTCTTGTATGCCTATTTGCATACCCAATTACCGAAAGTGTCATCTACGGATAAGATACACTTGTGAAAGTTACGTTGAAGTTCCCTCCGCTCCGAATGGCATGCAGATAACCTATGTAATCTAGATGACTCCCGTCTCTGATTAGGTAGGTATCGTTTCTGTCTCATTTCCCAGCGCTCGTTCATGTGCTCTGTTATTCGTATTGGTCGTCCCGTCATGATACTACGTCCTACGAAGCTCCTTTAGCGCTGCCTACCCAAGCTTTTGTTTTTCCTCCAACAGCTCCATCGTAAAAAGCACATTTGATGATAAATTTCATGTATTATCACAGTTTGGGGCTTACATTAGCACCAATAAATGTTAGTTAGCTCCGGTCATCTGTAAGCAGTCAGCTGCACGGCTGCGATCGGTTCATGAAAGCCCACATACACCAATGTCTCGGAGCTGGTCGCCGCTGTGTGCGCGGCGGCAGCTCCGGCAGCCCGCGGCCTCCCCGGCCGCGCCGGCCCCCGGCTGGGCCGTCCGGGCCGGCGCCGGCCGCCTCCGTCGGCGAAAGACTGCCCCTGTCCCGGGCGTGTGCAGCAGACCGGTGCACTGGATTGGTCTGGCCATGTGAGAGCGCGCGGCCACGCGGCGCAGCTAGGCTCGCCGCCGGCCGGCTCAGGTCCGCTCAGGAGAGGACTGTCTCCCCGCTCAGCTGGAGGGACATGCCTCCCCGCTCAGTTGGAGAAGGACGTCTCCTGGCCGTGGTACGCGTAGTGGATGCTCTCCAGCTTGGCTAGGAGCACCGGGTCGGTGGCCGCGGCGGCGCGCCGCACCGCCGGCCAGTGCCGCGTCACATAGGTGAACAGCTCCTGCGCGGCCACCGGCGTGCACAGCATGGCCGCGTGCCGACCGCTGAGGTGCTGCAGCAGGCCGCTCATCTCCTGGTCGGATACCGCAGGCTCCAGCTGCACGTCACTGAAAAACTTGGCCGCCGCCGCGCGGTAGCGCTCCATGTCTTTGACGAAGAGCAGCCGCTCAGCGCTGAGGTCGCGGTGCGGGCCCGGCCCCTCCGGCAGCAGCGCCTCAACAAACGTGTCGGCCACCACGGCGACAGACGCGTCAAACGACTGAGAGCGCCGAACGTCGTACACGGTCCACGGGTGGCGCAGCAGGGCCGCCCACACGCGCACGCCGTACACGCCGGCCTTCCAGGCGCGGCTCTGCGCCACGTCTGCCGCCGTGCGCCGCGCCGGCTGGCCGTCCGGCTCGGGAGGCGGGGGAGCGTCCAGCAGCGAGAACAGCCATCGCACCGGCGCAGGCAGGTGGCGGGCGCTCAGCAGGGCAGAGAAGAGGTCCTCAATGTACTTGTGCACCGTTCCTGCAACAGAGAGAGGGTATCTTTGAGCTCGGGTGGGCTCAGGTAAGCTGACAGCACGTGGTCTTCTGTGAAAAGGTGTCGATATTCACAATTGGCAATCACATCCGGTTCGAAATGGGCGTAAACTGCTCGACCAGCACGCCATATGACACATTTAGAAACAGTGACAATATGACCACTGAAAGGCCTCGGTAATCAAGCATCATTACATTTGACAGCCAATTGCATGAGACACTTGCTCAAGGTAACATGGCCATATTATGGAAAGAGTAATTACGCAGTAACGTTTGACATCAAACTAGTATTCCATGATGGGTCCCGCAGTCGAATGATGAAGCGATAGTTTGTCCGTCAGTCACATGCCTGGGCCGAAGTCCATTCAAATAGGTGGGCGGCCATGCAAACGGGAATGTGTATTCCATCATACGATTGAACGTCTTTGCATAGCATCCGTCCAAGCACAATGTGGCCAGCGAGACGGTTTCAGATGGGAACAATATGCCCGGCTCGACAGTGACATGTTCATTCGTACAGGCTGACAGCGTCCAAGGCTAGCCACCGGCTGCATGTCGACAGCACATCATGTATTCCTACTGTGTGCTAAACAGCCGCCCACGAAATGCTAGGAAGTCACAATAGAAAGGGCAAACCTGGTTCGGCCGCATGACATCATTCGATGAAAATCGACTGCGCCTACTGGCAACGACACGGCCGATTCATTAACGGCCTGCAACTGACTGGCTTGAGTTGCTGGTTGGCTGGTGGGCAAGTGACAGCAACTGGCTGACAACTGCGTCCCGGCTCCATCCGCTGGGCCGATAGCTATTTGTAAGGATTTTCTCGGCAAAACACGGGCTTCGTTAGTGGTCTACCTCTTGTTGATTCCAATCATTCCGCTCGTATATTTCGGACTGCTAATCCCCGTCATACATCGTTCGCCCAAACGCTTGGTGGTCCGTACAATGCCTTCACTCTGGCTATTGACGATTTAGGCATGACGGGGACCACATTAAGTGTCGTGTCTTTTTTTGCATCTGCCTACGTTTCTGCCTTGCGTGACTGTACTTCTGTCGCTGTCTCTGTCTATGTCTTTCCTATTCGTCTGTCTACCCGTCTTCCTCTGTCTGTTTTTTTTCTTTTTCTCTTTCTCTCTCTCTCTCTCTCTCTCTCTCTCTCTCTCTCTCCCCTCTCCCTTTCCCTCTTCCTTCCCTCTCCTACCTTTGGTGGAAATGAGTCGCGTCAGGTAGATCTCCGGGATGGGCTGTTTGAGCTCGTCCTTCTTGGTGGTGCCTGCTGAGGCCGACCGGCTCAGGTGGTAGATCTGCGCCGGCTGTGGCTCGCAGCCGCTGCTCGCGCCACTCGCGTACCCCGCCGACGAGCTGGGCAGCGTCAGCTCCGGCGTGGCGTAAATGTGCGTCACCGCTGTAATACCGCGAGTAGGGCAGGTCAGGTCACAGGTCACAGGTCACTTGTGGTCGCCCCATTCCATGTAGGGGCGACGGCACGGCCTATCTATAACGGCACGCCTACAAGCGAGATTTTATTGCATGAGCACGCATTACAGAGATAACTTAACACTAATAGATACATCGAACATATATCTATAAATGCCGGCAACTTACTATTGCTTTGCAATAAAAAAGACACCGGCTCATGAATCGTTTGATATGCAGTTACGGCATCTGATAATTGACTGATTAGGACTGCATACTTTTTGCAAAACAAGTGTTTATTAATAGCTGCGATGTCTTTGTGCGTTTCTATAAATCCATCATTAGCGAGTTTGCGGTGGTTTCTGACGATGTGAGATGCCGTCCTTCGTCTCTCAGTTGTCGGCTTCTTTGTGAGACGAGATCAGATGGCGGCCCGGGTATAAGCCCTCCGTTATTTTCAGTCCTCGCTCCGTGTTGTGCCGTTTCGCTGTGACGCATGAATGGGAATTATGAGCCTCGCCAAAGCACGGATTCCATGCTACGTGAAATAAATGCAACTCGTGCATAAAATGTAACTAGGAAAACCAGGCGGCCCGACGCTGCGGATTGCGGGTAAGCAGATTCCGTCCCTCGCCGCTGTCACAACATTTCATACCGGCGTCTGTCACGGATGTGGGTTACAGGGCCGGTACCAGGATAAAGCCCCAGTTCTGGGACGTTGCATGATAGTGTCACTCCGATCCACTCACGACGCCGAAAATCTCGGACGGCATGGGACGCAGACGAGAGAGGAATTAACGTGGTCCGTGCCGTGGGACGGGTCAACCGGGATCACTCCGATATGTGGCGCACTATCAGTCGTGCGGCGCATGAACCGTCAACAGGGACAGGAAAAAGAACTGCGCCAGCACTGACAGGTAAAAAACTGCGCCCAGCGGATAGGACGAGAAAAATGATTATGCTCAACTGATGACTCACATAGCCGGCTAAAGCCAGTTTTCATACAAATGTGCATCGTACATGTTCAGTTTCTTCTCGATACGCATCTGTGAGCACATGTCTCCCTATTGGTTGGAAGGATTGGTCCACCCAATTAAGCAGTAACCACTGACCGTGTTCTGAGATCAAGTGACGAATCACTACCAGTCAATACTCTCAGCCATATGCCTTGGCCCATATACCGCCATCACGTGACCCGCGCCTGCGGCCACTCACAGATTCTATGGAGTCCTATCGGTCACTCACGGCTGCTGTATGGCTCCTATAATCTACTCACGGCTGCTGTAGGACACCGAGTAGTTGGTGTGGTGTTAGCCACTTACGACTGCTGTATGGCTCCTATAATCTACTCACGGTTGCTGTACGGCTCCGAGTAGTTGGTGTACTCGTCGCTGTGACGCGCCACCAGCGCCAGCCTCGCCGTCTCCTCCAGGCCGTAGTGGGAGAGGGTGTTGACGCGCCTCCAGCCGTGCAGCGTCACAGAACTGAGGTCCGTGTCGGAGAGCGTCAGACGACCGCCGCGGCCGTTCAGCCACTCTGCCGGAGGGGGACGGGTCACGGAGGTCAGGTCAGAGGGTTAGATACGATCACGGGTCACAGGACAGAGTCAGACGACCGCCGCGACCGTTCAGCCATTCTGCCGGTAGACGGGGTCACAGGTCAAAGGTCAGGTCAGCGACTAGCAACCACGGGTCACAGGACCCACAAGGCAGCGTCAGACGACCGCCGCGGCCGTTCAGCCACTCTGAGAGAGGGGAACGGAGGTCACTGGTCAGAGAGTTAGATACGGTCACGGGTCACAGGACAGAGTCAGACGACCGCCGCGGCCGTTCAGCCACTCTGAGGGAGGGGAACAGAGGTCAGGTCAGAGAGTTAGATACGGTCACGGGTCACAGGACAGAGTCAGACGACCGCCGCGACCGTTCAGCCACTCTGCCGGAGGCACAGGGGTCACGAGTCGGCTCAGAGGTCAGGTCAAAGGCCAGGTCAGTGACAACGGGTCGCGGGACAGCGTCAGATTGGCGTCGTGACCGTTCAGCCACTCTGCCGGAGGGGAAACGAAGGTCAGGTCAAAGGTCAAGTCAGGTCAGCTACCACAGGTCACAGTGCAGCGTCAGACGACCGCCGCGACCGTTCAGCCACTCTGTCGGAGGGGGAACGAAGGTCAGGTCAAAGGTCAGGTCAGCGACTACAGGTCACAGGACTGGGGACGCAGTCTCAGGTCAGGTCAGAGGCCTAAGGTGACTGATGACCTGGTCGGCTGCGGCAGACGACTGTCACTCAGGAGTAGTGATGTCAATTACAGAAAATCGGAATACCGATACCAAACCAAATACCAACCAAAACCGTGGGGAAATACCGAAACCGAACCAACTTTGAAAGATGAGAGAAATACCAACTTTTTACCAATTTCTTAGCCTCTTATACATTAGTAAGGGTTCATAATACCAAAAAAAAAACAAACACATTAGGATTGAAATACCAAATACCAAGTTGGTATCGGTTTGGTATCGGTATACCAAAAGGTTGGTATCCGATTGACATCTCTACTCAGGAGCATTAATTCAGTCGGGAACGTTACATGGTTTATGGTGATGGACTGCAATTTCGCAAACAGCTCTAAGCTCGCTAGTTCACATACCGAAGCATCATTTATCTGCAAGCATCCGATACATGAGGTTCTGAATGCCGTTTTGTCTTAATTTCTTACATAGGTATAGCTCAGATTGATATTGAATTTCACCCATATGCCCACTGCACATTCTGCGAAGTACAAAGCAGTGCCATGATGACAACATCGATAGGAGGGAGGCGTTTCCTTTACATTAGGCATGCATCGATCCAGCTATCGCCCTGCCGATCGGGCGGCTGGCTGCAGCCGAGTCCGAAATAGGCCGTCTCTGGTATCGTCCCGGCGCAAATCCCGGTATCCTATGCCGGAGCTGGATTCCAGGGAAGTAAAATAGCAAGGCTGACGCAAGGTGTCTCCAAGAGTGGGTGATAATAGGCCTGTTCACTGGCGGGCATCCCATATGCCGGCAGGGATCACCAATTCACTTCGGTGTTCACAGAGGAAAATCAGCCAATCGTGCCGTCCCGGTTGACCCCTACTTCAGTAGCATTTTTACCACATTCACCAGGGCATTTTCATATGTGATACGATCAGAGTACCACAGACCGGCACAGTGAGCACTGAGCATTGTGCAATGTGCAGGCGAGTTGGCGAATTCCCCACTCGGGACGGCAATGGCAGACGCGATGTTATTTGCGAGCGTCCCCGGCCGTAAATAATAGATGAGACAGTGCGGTCAGCAGCCGTGGTCAGTGAAACATGGCAGACCCTCGCTGGCCGGCGTTTTTTCGGGCCCGATTCGGAATCCGACATCGTCATTTCGACTGCTGCACCGTAAACTCACAGCGCGCGAACACGGTAAAGTCGCCGGCAAAATATGATTCATTTGCTGAGAGATGAGGTTGCCGGCTGTCTTCGTGGCTGCACTGCTCGTTGACATGACTGATATCGGGAAGATCGGCAGATATGGGTCATTACGGCTGTCAAAGATGGATTCTGAGACGTCAGCCGTGGACTGGGAATTACCCCGAATGCTACCGAGATTGTCCAATGCGGTCAGATTTGGGTCAGTGTAATTAAGGGACAGTCGGTGGTTATTGGGCACAGAGCGTCCAGAAAGAGTGGATCGTAGAAGGTCCGATTTACCGTAGCGGCGCGTGAGGTTTGTAGTTATTCAAAATAAATGCGTTGAGGTAACCATTGAATGAGTTTAATGAATCATTTAATTTTCGTGATTTTCCGGGTACCGACAACTAAATTTATTTAAAAATCAAATATGCGTTTATTTCTGAAGTGGGTACGGGAATGCTTTTGCGATAAGAGCATGCCATCTGATTTGTCAATAGGCCCTGGAGCAGCTACTGATGCTCCAAACATCAGCAGCTGGGGCACCCTAGCCTAAGAATCTAAGATCGGACACTCAGATATTCCTAATCATCACCAACAAATATACTCACGATAAATGAATGAACCGAGAGACCATGAGCTATTTTTCATCCGTTCAAAATCACGCTGCGCCTTGCGATAAGGACTCGCACCACTGCACTGTGGGGCGGCGGGTATTTAGAGTCTGGTCGTCACTCACCCAGGTCGAAGTCCTGCGGGTATTTAGAGTCTGGCCGTCACTCACCCAGGTCGAAGTCCTACGGGTATTTACATAGAGTCTGTTCTTCACTCACCCAGGTCGAAGTCCTGCGGGTATTTAGAGTCTGTTCTTCACTCACCCAGGTCGAAGTCCTGCGGGTATTTAGAGTCTGGCCGTCACTCACCCAGGTCGAAGTCCTGCGGGTACCTATTTAGAGTCGGGTATTTAGTCTGTCGTCACTCACCCAGGTCGAAGTCCTGCGGCGCCGGCTTGTGTGAGTCGGCGCTGCTGGAGAAAATCCGGTCGATAATCTTCTGCTTCACCTGGCTTATGGTGTCGCACGAAAGAGCGGCGCACGTCAAAGTAGAGGGGTTGGAATTGAGCGACGCATGCACCACCTGTGGACAGGGAGAGGGAAAGACACTCAGACACTCAAAACGGGCACTCAGGCACTCAGAAAGAGGACTTGTGCAATTAGAACGAACACTTAAGTATTTAAAACACGGTGATCGATTCGCGAAACGGATATTCAAACTCAGAACAATGCAGTCGTCTGCTAAACTCGCATGCTGATTCACTAAGCCTTCACATCAGTCGCCAAGATGTTGCTATATTCGCTCACTTTTTGAGGCTCTGAGTCATGGGCCCATCTTTCAAACGCGGCCTGCGCTGTAGCGTTTCTCAGCGGATGGTGCGGCCGTCACGAGAGATGGACGACGACTGCCACTCAGCACTGGCCAATGTACGGAAATCCCGACTGCATTATCATGTCATACGGGCCATTCTGCTGTCAGACACTGCAGCCTTTAAAATACAAGGGAAGGCGAGCATCAATTAGGAGATATGGCGAACTGGATGAATTAATTTTATTGCCCGCCTCTGACTATATGTCGAAATGATTTGGTGGATAAATGAACTCATGTCTATCGAAGTTCTCACGATACTTTGACGCGGCTGCTGGAAGAAACTCGAAAACAACATCAACCGGGGAATATTCGAAAACAACAACCAACGACATAGGCAAGCCGTGAGCTTGTTGATAACTCTCACTTTCATGAAATTCGTGTCGTCTGCAGTGTATACCAGTCCCACTAAAGCTGAGACATGACCACACGACATTTCTTCCACTGCATCAACACAGCCACATGCCACTCATGCATCTTTCACTCGGCATTCCACAAATTCACCAGACATTCACAGCACCGCGCCCGGTAGCGTCATTCCAGGCACGGACGGGCTTCGAAATCGAGCCACTCCCCGTCTGTCGTCTTGTTGTCACTGCGGCGGCGCCGATCTCAGCTCCTCCCATGACATTTTTAACGCTCGCTACTTCGTACTCCACCTTCTCAGAGACATTGGTTGGCAGTGGAGGCACTCAGTGTCCTGAGAGCACCCACGGGTCACGTCATGGGTAGTCGTTGGTTGTCAGCGGCGACTCTCGATGTCCTGAGAGCACCCACGGGTCACGGCTAACGGCGGGCGGCTGAGACCGGTCACGACAGACCCCGGCCGGCCGGCGGTCCGTCAGCGGACATGGACGCCCTCGCGAGCCGCGCTCGGCCCGCCTCATCAGCATTCCCGGCACGGAGAGATCGCTCTTATTTCCTGCCGTCATCCATTGCGAATGCAGACAGCAACGATGGAGCAGCGGCATAAGAGCGGTTAGACGTTTCTTTAAAGTCGTACGTTAGATTATGCAATCAAGCGGCGGTCGCCGAATGCTGCAGCCGGATTTATCAGTGGTATCGTATAAAACGGCACCATTCCAATGACAATTACACATTAAATCGTCCGGGGTATAGAGACAGTACAGCGAAGTGCATCGTAATGCACGCTTGTCTCATGGCGCGTGTCAACATGAAAACTTAACGATTCTCGGTGCTCGAACGCCGCCGATTTCTGCGAATGGCAGTTGGTCCGCCTTTGGAGAGCGCCATGGTGGCCGAACCTCCCACAGTGATGGTCTAAATCGACCATAACCGCAGCGCGCCGCCCCCTGGTGAGCCTTAGACGAGTGCAGGCTCCCCTCGGATCGGCCATCTTCCCTTCTCTGCCTCTGCTCTCGCTAGGGTCGCTCTCCCCTCCAGCGCGCTTTTACCACCCTCTTGATTGGAAATCATTACTATCGCCTGCCACCAACAGCCGTTTTTTCTTCTGCTAACCACCTCCTGTCGCCTTTTCTCTGACCACAGTCCACAGCTTAAGTAATCATGCCCCTTATTGCCCAGAATTACCTCATCTCACGAGCAGCCCTCTCCCCACTCTCACTTCTCCCTCACCTCACCCCTTTCCCCTCCTCCCGTTCGCTTCACTCTTCCTCACCCTTACCCTTACCTCCTCCCACCGCTTCTCTCTTACCCCCTCTCGCTCTTTCTGTCCCTCTCCCTTCCCTCTCCACTCATCCTTACCCTCCTCCCACCGCATCCCTCCCCCTCCACTCACCACCGTTTTGTAGTCGACCTGTTCCTTGAGCAGCGTACTCTCTGCCAGCGAGTAGCGCGCCGCGCCGGTCAGCGCATCGACCGGCCCACGTTCCGTGAGCCGGTGCAGCGCGCGCACCAGCAGCAGCAGCCGGCCGGCCGGGCCGCCCTCGCGCAGCTCCTCGTACAGGCACACCGACAGCCAGCAGGTCAGCAGACGCTCCAGCAGCGTCGTGTCCGAGCGGCGCGTCAGCGTGCGCGGCGTGGCCGGCCGGCCGCGCAGCAGCAGGCCAGCCACGATCGACGTCAGGTACTCCATGCGCGGTAGCAGCACGGCCGTCAACAGCGAGGCCACGCTGACGCTGAGGGAGGGGAGGGGGTCGTCAGAGGGGAAGATGGTGCGGCTATGTGATAACGCAGGTCACTGGTGCCTGGTGGCAGGGTTGGACTGCTTTAGGCAAGAAAGCGCATAAACTTGCGAGAAAGCATAGAAGGTGCTCGATAAGATTTTCCCCCCTCAGCCAACAAGAAAAGTGAAGAAAGCAAGAGAAGCGAGAAAAAGAGGAGAGAGAGAGAGAGAGAGAGAGAGAGAGAGAGAGAGAGAGAGAGAGAGAGAGAGAGAGAGAGAGAGAGAGAGAGAGAGAGAGAGAGAGAGAGAGAGAGAGAGAAAGAGAGAGAGAGTGAGAGAGAGACAGAGACAGAGACAGAGACAGAGACAGAGACAGAGACAGAGACAGAGACAGAGACAGAGACAGAGACAGAGACAGAGACAGAGACAGAGACAGAGACAGAGAGAGAGAGAGAGAGAGAGAGAGAGAGAGAGAGAGAGAGAGAGAGAGAGAGAGAGAGAGAGAGAGAGAGAGAGAGAGGGAAGAGAGGAAGTAAGATCCAAATGCACAGCGGTCACCGTCCGAGGAGACCGTGTTGCAGCCGATAATGAGGGGAGGGGCGGACATATGCTGCGGTCAAATGCTGTCGCTGTCGCTACTGAATGAGGTGACGGCGCAGCAGGTGTTGGCGGTCGCCGGACACGGAAAGGCCTGCTGCCTCGGCCACGGCCATTGAGCCGCTAACGGTTCCTGCATTGCTAGTGCGCTTAAAAGCCCTCATGAAATTGTACAGTTCTTGGTATAAATGTCATCGCTCAAGGCATTCAACAGGTATAAATGTCACTATATGGGAGAGTCAACAGATCCGGGATGAAGAACACTGATGCCGCCAGGCCAGATTATGTATGGTCAACAACCTCGGCTCTGCTGGCGTACGACCCGGCTCCGCAGAGTGCCCAGGTGATTGAGAAGCACTTGTCCGCACAGCGATCCGGCTAAGTCGGCAAAACTGCCGGCGATTGTCACCTTTGTCGATGGCCGGCCGGCCGAGGCGGGATTCAACGGTGATAAAACGGCGCCGGGCATGAAATGAAGCAATCATTTATCGACAGACGACACTCGGCGACCGCAGCCGGCGCAAAAACGGCCGCCGATCAGACATGTCCGACACATTTTCCGAGCAGCCATCGTCACGTCGATCGGTGGCCGGCGCTGCCGCCCGCCCGGCTGTAATCTGCCCTCCGCGGGCTGGTGGAGCACGCCCGGCTCCAGCCCAATGTCTAGCGCCGGCCGTCCGCACCAGTCCTGTCTCTGCACAGCCGAGAGACTCCGCGCCCCAACAGCGCGACTCAGGAACGGGTCGGACCGGGTCGGCCACGACATTTTTTGGTCGTTTCGTGCCTCGTCCGTTGCACCGGCGAGGGCGCCACGGCCCGGGCGCGGCGGCTCTCCGACGGGGGGGGGGGGGGGCTCTCCGGGCGACTCTCCGGGCGGCCGGCAGCGGCGGCTGCATCAGTGCGCCGAACACAGGGCTGCACTCAGATCGACATTGATGATACCCGTATCTGATGCGATGCGACATAATCGCCGAGAGACCGGCCGGCCGGGCGCGCGGCGCTTTCCGGCTCCGCAGTAAGCCCGTCTCTCTCTCTCCCCGTCTATTCTGCGGCCGGGCCTGCCGGATGCAGGAATGTGTCAGCTGAGACGGCCGCATTAACCACAGCCGGGGCTGAGCCGAGCCGCCGCGGCTGACGGCTGCAGCTGGTGACGTGCGCTGCAGCTCAGCCACAGCCGGTCAGACGGGGGCTGTCTGATGGACCCACGGCGGGCGACCGAGCCCAGACCAGACCTTCGGCCAGTCTGCTGACAGCTGGAGTGGTCAGGACACGGTCCGGAGTGTAGGACCCTAGACACCACTGGGTGTATTTTTGGACTTTGGCTGCATTGCGGTTCGCGGTCTCACCTCAGACACCTGGGTGGTCCAGTGTCGACCACTGCTCAGCATCTAACACCACCGCAGCGGGCAGAAATTTATGATCGTATTGACGCGACGCAATGCTGCACTCGAGTGAAAGTGACGGGTTTCTGGTAAAAATGCGGACGTTAAGTATTTTTAGCGCTATTACGAGCTTGCATGGCCTGTGAATCTCAGACATTATTTCTAATAATGGTGTTGAACTGCCAACGTGAAGGCCGATGGCAGACATGAACAGTTTGATTAATCGCCGGGTCTTCACAAATTCATTAACAGCTCGGACTTAAAAATGTCCAAGTTAAGCCATAATTCCGGCGTTATCATCGCTGTGAAGTGGCTACCAGTCACCATGGATATAGAGATATATCCGTTATGACCAACTAATCACCGCAGATTATGCAGCCTGACGCTCGGAGGTGAGATTGGCAGCAGAGCTCTCTCACGACGGTCCGTCTCGGCGGCTACTGGGCGAGCCGGGCCGTCTGCGACACGCCGCGTGTAATTGTCACAAAAACAGCCGGCTTAGCTGTCCAGACACCAATTAGGGAGAATGTGACAAGCCGACATGACAAATATGCCCGGTGGATTGGAGTGACTGATTGGCTGTGCAGCGGCGCGGCGGTCGGCGGTCGGCGCTGGGTCCGCGGTGGGGCCGGCGCCGGCCGGGCTGCTCCGCGCGGCCGGCCGGGAGAGGAAGGTCTGCAGAGGGGTGCTGAGCTGTTCAGACCCCCCCCCCTCCGCCTCCGCCTCCGCCTACCCCACGCTGCGCCTGCTCCACATCACAGGTGACAGCATGTCGAGCCTGGTAATTACCGGCTCCAGGACCCCTAATGAGCCCACTGTTCAAGGCCAGATGCCGCGGCACGTCCGCTCAAACAAGATGTGCATTCTTTGCAAAAAGACTGCCTTCTGGACAAAGGTCTTATCTTTAGAATGACGTCTTGAATGGCGGATACAATCTCCAATGCTCAAAAATGCCATTTTAGTGTACATTATCTTAGTAATTAGCCATGTATCGTGCAACGTCAATTTTATTATCAAGCGTCGATTGAACAATTTCGGGATTAAACATGCATAATCGGCCATAAACCACGTCTGATTAACTGATGCGCTTGTTATGTATGTATCTTCTGCTGGCTGTATTTTTGATAAATTGCTTTCACGGATAGGTATATTTTTATGTTCTTTTACTGATTGGTCAGTATTCTTCTAATCAAGGGTTCGGTAACAACTTAACCTTTCACAAAGATTGTAAACATTGTTAGCTGGTAGGTATACAGCCGCACGAAGCCAACCAATAATTGTTTTGTCTCTGTATATCTTGCTGAATTGGTCCCATTGTTTCACATGGACACCGTAGGAACTACGGGTGTTCCGATTTCAGCTCTTACTTGTGATCGAGCCTTGGTGTTTGGAAAAATGATGAACCAGACCCAGGGGCAGGAGCCAATAGTCGCACTCGAGAACACCCGACGCTAAGACCATGTCAACGGTTGATCGGGAATCTGGCTCGAGACCGTGTCGACCAGAAGTCTACTCAGTACCTAATCTGACTTGGGGCCGTGTCTGTTCAGGGATCTGGTTCAGGACTATCCGTTGCGTCTAGCCATGGAGGGTGAAGTGGCAGCCGAAGCTGTCAGTGACGTCTCTCCACGCCCCCTCGCCATGTTTAATCAGACCATGTCATTAGGGGAAGCCGCCGCCCGCGCCACGTCTCGCCGCGCTGCGCCGGATTCGCCGTGACGTCGCACATAGCTGCCATCGTAATTGGAGGCTGGCAGAATATAATGGCCCGTACTTAGACTAATAGATACCAGCTCGCCGCGCGGCCTAAGTGAGACTGAACGATGACCGAGGCTGCTGCAGCCGGCATGGCCCGGTCACCCCGTCCCGACCGGCATGGAAGACCGCCGTCTGGCCGCGCGGGAAGCGGTCACCGATCAACGGTCACAGACTGCTGTCTTGAGATGGTTGGTCACCGGTCAATGGTGAGACTGCTACATGTTAGGGGCTGGTCACCGGTCAATGTTGAACGGTCACAGACTGTTGTCTGCAGAGGGCTGTCACCGGCCACAGGTGCAGTGTGGTGCCTCCAACTCTAACTCGAGTGTGGGCCGGCCCAGTCCGTGGAGGTCTGTTCAGACCGAGCCGGTGGACGGGAGGAGGTAGCCGCGGCCGGCATTCAGCTGTCACTGCTGAGCAGCTGCCCGGAGCCGCCTGGTGCTGCCCGAAGCCGCCTGCTGTTGCCCGCAGCCGCGGCTGTGTGAGGCGGCGGTCCGGCGGCCGGCGGGCCACTGCCCGGGGTCACCGCCGACCGTCCGGCTGCACCGCTCGGCCGGCTCGGCCGGCGCGCTGCACACTGCACTGCCGCCATGCACGTTCGTGCCGCCAGTAATCAAAACGCGGCTAATGATAATAAATAACGCGCAATAAAAATGAGTTAAGCATAATGGTACGGCCGCCGACGCCGGCCGCTGGTGGCTGGCAGGCGAGTCCTCCCCTATGGACGGAGCTGACGTAAAGACGGCGCAGCCCCTGGGTGGGTCGCCGGCCGCAGGCGGCGGCCCGACACGCGGGCGTCGCTTCAAACGCCGCCCGAAAGTTTATTATTGTGTATTAATTACCGCTATTCAGGGATAACGAGAGAGTGCATGTGTCCGGCTCGTTAATAATTAGCAGCATGCATCTTGCAGTACCTAAGGATGATGCATTGCTGCTAGACAAGGAAAGCCTTGATAGTTTTCTATCGATATAGAACATCAGAAGTGGGGATCAGCTCCTCGCATACCTTGCATACCTTCAAAACGTGTCGAGCGTTGAGTTTCAACACCATCAGGCTCGTACCATGCCGTACTGTGTGTCCTCTCATGATAATGGGTATTGGTAAGGGTAGCCTGAGCTGGCTATATTCATGAAGCGCAATTGCAGAGCAGCACGACCTGAGCGGACCATGGCTGGATGCCAGGGACCTTGGAGGCGTGTTAGACGGTGGTGTTAACTGCTTATCAAACTAGCTGAGCTCGGCCGCGCTCTCATGTTTCACTATCAGAGGGCCAAGCCGTTGGCAGCTCGACGAGCCCCTGAAATGTGACGACCGCGCCACCCAGGTCGCCTGGTGCCGCGATCCGGGATTTCCGCATACGACGGCGCCGCTGTGACCGGTTCGCAGCCTGTCAGTGCCAGAAGTTTGACCTCTACTGCGTCCGGCTGGGGGCTTTCGGAGGAGGCGGAAGGACTGCCACAGGTGCCGTGTTCCTGTCCTGGCACCCGGGTGGGCGGTGCAGAGCTGTCCTGCGCCGTGGCGTCTGGGCGGGGCCGAGACACCGGCGTCCGCCGAGCAGCCGTGTTCGGCGGGGGCTGACACGACCGCGGTGTCGGACCGCGCTCCGACCAGGTGCTGCACCGGACCGCCCAGCGCCGCTCACCGCGCGCCGGGGCGGGACGGGCCGTCCGCTCGCCCGGCGGACCGCCGCGTCGGCCCGTCGCCGCCGGCGGCCCGCCGTGCGGCTGCACGGGCCCGGCGACACGCCCCGCCGCCGTCGGTAGTAATGGCTGATTAGGTGCGCTCGGCGGCGCCGCGATACGCAGCGCCCCGCTGACCGGAGAGCGGTGGGCGCCGGTGACAGGCGGCGACAGTAACCGAGCCGGGCTGACGGACGGCGCGGCGGCGCCGCCGGCCGGCCCCCGCCCGGCCGCGGCGCGTCCTGCAGTCACCTGTGCAGCCGGCGCCGCGATTTAGTGACGTCCACACCGGGCCGGGCCCGCCGGCCGGCCGGCCGTGACCGGTTTTCAGGTGCGCCGGAGCCCATGTCACTGCTGCCCTTCCCCAGCTGCCGCAGCGGACCGGCTGAGACGGGCCGGTCGGTGGCGCCCCCGTGACCGCCAGGGGCGCCGCCTCACCCCGCCTCTTCCCGCCTTATTCCGCCACAGCCCGCCTCACCCCACGCAAGTCCATCTTATCTCCCAGCTATCCCCCTCCTCACCCCGCCTTACTACCCGTCTAATCCCGCCTCAGCCCAGCTCTCCCCGCCTCAACCCATCTCACCCCTTAATACTTCCCGCCTCAGCTCGCCTCACTCCGCCTTATCCCTCATCCTGCCTCACCCCGCCTCACCCCGCCTCAGCCCGCCTCGCCTCGCGTCACCCACCTGTCCCGGCTGCTGAATGTTTTCTGCGACTCGAGGGCTTCGAGGAGCATCAGGAGGAAGTTTCGGTTTGTAAGCAGCTGCTCGAACTGAGCCATTGCTGTCTTCACACCGACTGTGAATCCCACCGGGAGCTGCAACAGAGTGACGGTGACGGTCAGAGCTATTACATACCACCATGAATTCTACTGGAAGCAGCAGTAGCATGACGGCGATTGCCATTGGTCACAAAAGTATTCCATCGGAGGCGGGCGTAAGACAGCCACTGTCACAGATATGCGTAGTTGTACATACATACGGCGTCGGTCAATGGTCAGTCAGAGTACAGTGCAGTGGACGGCGACCATTTCATTTCGGTCGGTACTGGCGGAGGAACTGTCATTGATAATTGAACGGCATGGACAGGATCTGAGCGGCAATCTTGCCAGAGCGGCTGGATGGAACTGACGTCAAGAAACATCAGGATAGGATAAGACCCAAGACATGACTCGTTATGGATATGTTTAATCAAGAGAAGCGTTCTAAGGAACTGATGCTTGTGCGTGATACGGCATCGTTTTCTTTTATAAAGCGCATTCCCTACCTGCAAAAAATCGAATCAAAGTTGAACCCGCAAGGAACGCTTGGCAGGTGATAGAGATGTATGCAATAGACGTTTTGATTAATCTCGTGTATTGAAGATGTATACCTGTGATCAACATTGCTGTTGGTTTTGTTGATTCATAATGCATTCAAAAGCTATCCCAGCAACCAAAACCATCCGGTGCTCACCGCCGTATCAGCCATAAAACACAATCCCCGTCTAAGGTCAAGTAACAGTAGTCGATAAGATGTCCTGGAAGCTACTAGTTCGTGCTGAGTTTCTGAAAAGCAGCTGTGTTTTCAGAGCCGAGAAATGCCGGCTTTATTTGTTGTAATGACGCTGTTCGGCTCAGCTCCTTGACACCACGTTTGGCGGTGCTGCAGCGGCTCACGTCTTCTGACCGTGGTCGGACTTGGGTCACGATTCTGCGACTGAAGGACCCAATCACTCCGCCGAGGTATGCGGTGAGGCTGTGGTAATTTAATGTGTCTGAATCCGTCCGTAACTCTCACTTTATTAGGAAAAAGACACGGTCTGGTGAAATCAACAGGCGAGCAAATAATGTTCTGCACAAAGTTACAAGAATTGCCAAACGTAGCAGCTAAAACAAAATGAAACTGACTGTGAGTTGTTTCAGGCAGGGTATATTGAATTAAGGTTTCAGTTTTTTTTTTAAATCCCCACTCACTGCGAGCTTTTTTGTCTCAATGTCCTTTTATTTAAAATCATGTGCGCGGAATGGATATTGGCAATGAAATGAACTGATTCAGACCGTTGGCAGTCATGCAGTGTGCATGTAAACCTCGCAGGCAATGATTAACTACTCGTATGTCTATGCTACCCTGCAACCTCCTCAAGTCCGTGTCTGGTTGATCTCGATTCTCGAAGCTCGACAGCATTCTCTATCCTACGTACAAAGTATTGAATAATTGAAATAGGAAGCAAGGCTATACCCAAATCAGACCTAATGCCTTTTACACTTTATATCAAAATTCCCTTCGTTCTCAGCCCACATTTGCTTATCATCTTTGCCTACCAGTGAGGTAATAGGCATAATAATGTAAATGACTGCATCTGGCGCATTGCATCTTCAATATATAAAATAAAATTTTAAAACACAATGTCCTCAGAAGAAGTAACACGTCTAATGCCATGATTAATACAGCAGTATAATATCCGTGCAAAATGCACCCATTATCAGACATTATCACCGCTGTTTAGCATACGAGGCTAAATTTAGCCAGTCGTCGGAGCTCATCCTGGAATGGTTTTCCGAGAATAGCCTTTGCTATCTCTGGACGCAGTCGTTGCGCAGACCATTTCATCGCGATGCATTAGCCCCTCAGCATTCCAAGTCGGTTTGATTGCGCCCAGACTATGTCGCTGTCACTGTCGCTGTGTTTGGTGCTTAGTCGCCCGTCACTGAACGATCAGACCAGTGAACGATCAGACCGATCTTATAACAGAACATGACAACGCGGTGACTGAGTCGAGGTTTGTGTGACCGTGCCGCGGCGGCGCTGTACGTCAGTCATAAAAACCTGGCGCTTCTGCCTTCATAACCGCACCTGTCCTCCCCTGACCCGCCGGAGGACCGGACAGGGTGATGTCGTCACCCTCTCCCCCCCCGTCCCACCCCAGCAGCAGCAGCACTGAGCACTGAGCGAGTCCGACTGATCAGATACACAGCCGGCGACGCGATCGGTTGATCAGACGACCGAGGCCGAGCCACTGATCGGGGAGGGGCCGACCGGGGAGGGCCGAGCCACCGAGACGGGCGGCCAGCCGGAGGGCAGGGGCGGGTCGGCCGACTCTGTCCGCCAGTCACCAACTGACAGACGGTGCTGACATCAGAATCCGGCCCGAGACCGGCGCGACAAAAGTGTCCGACCATCGCCTGCTCAGCTAAGCGCGACCATGTCACATGCAAATGGCTGGCTGCCACCGACACGCTGCCGTGGTGCCGACTGGACCGGGCCGGCCGCGCCGGGACGGTCACCGACTGAATATGAAGCAGACGACCTGACTAGCGGTTATTTTCCATTAGCATGCAACGAGGCCGTTTCGAAATTAAACTACGAAATGTTAATGCGATAGGAGACACAGGCCAGAGTGGAGCGGATCATGCGTTGGCTTTCAAGCTCGAAAGATGATAATGGAGAGTTGAAAGCTGGCAGGCTGAGCCAGTCATGAGGGTTCTACGTTCAGATCGAGTGCAAGAGGGCTTGCGCCTTCACACCACAGAAGCTCAAGATCCGGAACCACAACCAAAGAAGCAGTGAGAGCCAGACCAACCACCAGTGGAGCCTCAGCCAGAGCCACAACCACCGCCGCCACATAGCCAACGGTTTTAAGAATCGCCATCACCGAAACTGCAAGAGAAAAGATGCCACCACCACCACCACCACCACCAGAAGCAGCCACCAGCCGAGGATCGCCCTCGGAGCAGGCGAGAGCGAGCGAGCGAGGGATGACCCACCGTGTCCTTTCCGACTGGGTGATCGGGCGCGCCCGGGAAGAGCACGTTGAGCACATAGGTCTTGTGCTCGTGAATGATGACCCTCCCGTGCTCGAGGGCAGAGGTCAGGTCAGACATGTCCGTCTGCAGCTCGGCGAATGCTGCCGGAAGACCAGACACAGACAGGGGGTCAGAGAGACGAGCGAGAGACGGGTGGCTACGTGGGCCATACGACGGGCCGATAGGTCTGCATCGACAGAGATGCACACTTCTATGGGAGCTTTCTGCACTTCCGTGGCAGGTCGAGTCAGTTCATATCGATAGCAACATGGCTCGTAAGCCGAGGAGGTGCAGTCTTTCGAAAAACCGAACAAACGAGTTTGAATTTACCTATGCAAAACATATGGCGGCAGAAAAGTGCATATCTAAAATTTGGATGTTGTTATTGAAGCCGCTGGCAGATTGAAGGCAAGCGTTACCCTGGTCACGTTTGAAATGTTAACGAAAGTATCAAAGCAAAAATGAATGGGTTTAAGTTAGCTCAAATAATTAAAAGTAGATATAAAACGGGAAAAGGGTTGTTTTGGAAATGTAGCAAGGGTAGCATGTCAACCACAGCGAACATAGCACGGCATACAAGCCACAGAAGCACGGCATAAACGAAGCATATCGTTCAAAGGATGGGTAGCCAGTTAATAGAAAGTTTGCATTTAATATGCATGCCTGTGTTATGTTTTTTGATTAGCATACAGACAATACAAATGTTGTGCATGTTTGTGCAAAGCTCAAGGTATTTTTATATCACCAGCATTTGGTAGGCATCACACATGCAATACTGTTATGTGAGGGCTCATATATGAGCCTGGCATTATAATGTCCACGTTCAGATAGTTTAAAAACAGGAAAATCAACCGTGCCTGATGAAATTGCTACAAAGCAAATAAAAACAGTTGTCCAAAAAAATAACGCTTAGAAATCCGGCGAAGTGAAGAAAGTCAGATAGACAGACATAACTTTATCCCAAACTATGTATACTGATCCATGAAATGTCTACCGCTAAACAATTAGCCAAACTCACTGTCCTAGTGCATTGAAACGCGTTCGTTTGGTTCAAGTAGCAGAAACTGTGCACATTCCATGGAGATGAATTGACAGCACGGTCGTCTACCCTGCAGTCACCCTGTGCTAGCGGGGATGCTGAATTGAAGAAAAAAAACGGTCGTCAGGGAGTATTGAGTGGAAGTGGCAACTGGCAGCCGCCGTTACCGCTCAGTTTCCGGCAAAATAGTCGCGGTGCTGGTCCGTTTTCCCGGGGCTGTTCTGTCCAGACAGACGCCGGCTACAGAAGCAGGCAAACGGCGCCGACCGGAATGGCCACCGGAACGAGATATAAACGTTCACAACTTCACAGATATGCAGGAAGGCTTTCTTCCAACGATAAATCCGTCGAAGTTATGTGCCTTCGATTTCCCATTCCCAGATGAATAGCCTGCTACCATTCAATGGAATACAGGCTAAACACCATAACAGTCCAGCAAATTATTATGTAAAAGGCTGCAAATTAAATGTTTGTGACGTAAGTGGTACTAAGCAGCGTAAGCATATCTGTTATCCACATAATACTATTCCTAACAGTTGCTATCTATCAAAAGGCAACAATTGCGAGGGAACACCCATATCGAGAATGGCTATATGAAACTAGCACGAAACCCATCAACACCGCGTGCCCCTCCCCCCCCCCCCCTCCCCCAGCGGCTCAGCGCGGCTCTCTGCGAGCTCCTCAGCCCATACATATGTATCGATCGACCACGATGTATGGTGACCGGTCGATGGCAGCGTGTTTCAACTACTAGCCGGCGTCCGTTCAGCGCCGACTCAACAAATGAGATGCGATACAGTGTGCGCCGATCATGTCACCTGGGCTGGGGAGGTGATAACGGGGCATTGACACCAGCGCAGCGCGCACTGTATCGGTATCGGAACCACTGCTCTGCACTGCCCGGCTGCTGATATGGCTTAATAGGGTCGTTTTTTCTCTGCGCTGACAGTATGCAAAGCGACTGGCACCCATGCAGTAGATCGAGTTGAACGGTCGATTTTAGATACATGTGTTAATGTCACAATGGGAGCTCGCTCACGGACCTCTGCTAGGGGATACATTTTGGAGCAGCGCAGCCGGTTTTCTGTTGGCAAAAGTTTTCTTGGGCCAACGCTGCATACTTGGAGGATGAATGTTTATGTATGATGCGAGATACCAGGCTAAAACATAACGGTATTTTTTTGCTAAACTAAATTATTTTCAATGTCACCTCTCTGTCGGTACGTCTTTTGTTTATTCTAAGTCATCTTTGTTCTTCATTTATTGATTCATTTATTCTTAGTTTGCCCTTTAGATATGAATGAAGAATAAATGGATCGGCTCGCATGACAGCAACCAAGCCCCGACGAGCTGTTGCCAGTCTATCTCTCTCGGCCGCTTGTTGCCACTCATCGCATAATGAAACGAGCTTATTTGTCATGTGCATTCTATCTGTGAACAGGCCGTGTCAGATAATCGGCGGCAACTTGAATGTGACAGTCCGTTTGTCAACTGCTGTGTTGTGCTCCGGCGAGCCCCACCGGCGGCTGTTATATAATTCATCGGTGATGCAAATCTGCTCTTTTTCAGGACACATTAAGTCAGCAGCGGCGCTATGAACGAGTGGAGACGGGAGCCCGCTCAAGTAAGTCCCTCGGAAGAGGGCGTTAGGTACTTTTTTGTGTTAACTGACGTTAAAGTTCCGATCTTGGCAACCTATCCATCCGATATTAGCTGTATTGACACAGCCAAGGTCTGTTTCCATTCTCTACCCGAATGTCATCAATCTGACCTCTTGCCTTCCGTTGTAACACTTGCAACTCTCTTTGGAGCGGTTTTGATGCGTTTGGGTACGTTCAGTCCATCATGAACTCGCACATTCCTGCAGAATTCCGTTCCGTATGACAATGGGATCTCCTATTTCCTATGATCCAGGTGGTGGATCGGTGGGGCTCTTTTGATTCAGAAGGTAGTGCACCAGTTTATAATCGTGATGTGCAATCTCTGAAACCATGATTCATTCCAAACCCGAGTCCCCGACAAAAGGTCTGTGAACTGCCGAACAAGCCGCTCGGGTGTTCTCGACGACTTTTCCCTCGTCTCTTCCGATAGTGATCAATGCACAGCGTCGCCTCGTGCAATAGGAGGCGCATTCCAAGGACCTGGCCTGTCCGCTTCGAGCCCTGGAGGATAATGATGAATATTCGACATGAAAATTGTTCTAAACTCTATTCAACAAGACATGGTGATGCACACATGTTCTATGGTTTGGTTTTCCTTTATGGACGATGTCCGTTTTCCATCAATCTTATCATTTCTTATGTTTTATCTGTTTCAGTCTTTGTTTGCTAGATATTGTTCGGATTCATTTTATTCAAGTAAAACGTTCATTGAGTCCGCTCAGTAAGACTTTTGCGACAAACAGGCAGTCAGGCAAATAATTTTTTTAAGTCAGTTTCTGTCACCTATTTTCGTCGCTCCGGCCGAGCGGCTGGCGTGGTGCGCTGGCGGCGAGCTGCGGCGCGCGCCGCGCCGGTGCCCGCTGACCGGTCGGTCACAATAGTGGCGCGGCGCTGACCGGTCGGGCGGGCGACAATTGCGGCGCGCCGCGGCATTGTCGGTCCGGCGGCGGCCGATACTCATCTGCTGCGCTGTTGGCTAATGAGTGCCGGTGTGGGTGGCCGGACGACCGCAGACACCACTGCAGAGGACGACGGACCGCTCCGGACAGACGTGCCCGGCTCGCGCGGGACAAATATAGTGTCCGACACGACAAATCTGACGCGGACAACCGCCAAGCAGTTAACGTTTTGAGTCGGCGGAAAACATATTTTTGTTGAATTTTAGTGAAAGCCATTACGTGAATATTTCCTTCTTAGGTATATTTCATATTTTGGACTACATGAATATTTCGAAAGGCATTAGTAAAATTTAAGGTCGTAGAAATATCAATATGGTGACGGTCATTCTGTGAAACTGACTTTATTATCCATATTGTAAAATAGTTTATAAAATTTCCTAAAAACTTGCGTGGATCACTTGAAATGAGTTTTGACAAACGTGTCTTTATGAAAACTGAACGATGCCACACATTAGTCGTAATAGCGTTCATCCATCTACGATTACGTCAGCTGCGCAAAGCCCGAGTAGATCAATTACTGCAATCGCATGTGTCAGCCACAGCTGTTGCCGCTGCAGCTTTGTCAACTGCTGGCAAAGAAACGGCGACGCTCAGTGGCTGTAAGAATGCCGGCTGCTACCGAAGAACCGAGACGGCTGCATGTTTATACTTCTGCGGAATGCCGCACCGTCACGATGGTATCGTGTCGAACGCAGCTCATTGTGACGTGCCGACCGATATCCTCCTTCCAACATGTCACGATACCGAAAGCTTACCGGCAAATATAGGCCGCAGGGACTCTGAATGACACGAAAATATGAGCACGCCTCATAATAAACCGTGGTCACTGAAGACATGCCGTTAATTGGAGCGACAGTCTCGCGTGACATCGACCAATAAGTCGCGATGGAAGACAGCGAGGGCGAGCGTGGCTCCCGGCAGCATATCGCGATTCTTTCCGACGCAGTGGCGATACCCTCGGCCTCATCCAAAGGTCGTGCTCGTGAACTCCTGGCGAGTACCGGTGAACTCGGATTGCCCTCATCCTGACTGACCTCTCACGGTCACCCGAGTGGCGGCCTACGCGAGGAAGACGCTCTCCGTCCGACGGCGGACAGCGCGCTCTCCGGGATCGGCTCAAGGGAGGAGCCGGCTGTCACTCTGTATATCTGGCCGGGAAAAAACTCGCGGCGCGGCTGTCGCGCTCTGAGACCTTGTTGGCCGTCCGCGGGCCGGCATTCCGCCCTGTCGCCGAGTGCCACTAACGAGGCTGTGGAGCGGCCCACGCCGGAGAGGCAAGATGGCGAACGGAGAGCTCCGGCCGGGCCGGGCCGGCCGGGCCGCGCGGCGTGCCCGTATACCGGTCCGCCGCGCTCCGACCGGCCCTGATCCGGCCAGAGGTGACAGAGCCGGCCGCGTGTCAGTTTTTTACGGCGCTCGTCCTGTCCAGAGTCACGCCGTTTGGGGCAGACACGGCGCGCCGTCGACTCGTGATGGGACGGGTCTGTCGCTGGCCGGTGGCGGAGGGAGGGGACGATGGGGCGGGGCGGGCGAGACCACCCAACTGGTCGGCACGGGCGGTGGCCGCGCTGTGGCGTAAAATCGGCCGGCCGGTCGGTGGCATATCACGGAGTAATTTGTCGGCGTCGTGTGCCTAAGGCGTCTATACAGGTGTGGTATCGACTGTAGAGTGTAGAGTATGTCGCTTGGCGACTTGACACAGAGGCTATGTATTTCAGGTCGCTGACCTGCGTCCTAATCACTCCTGCCAGCCAAGGTCTTTATCGAATTGTGCAAGGGTCACTGCTATCTCGCTACAACTCTAATACACCACAGCATATCTCATCACAATCAGGACTGAGTGACATTATCACGCGCTGTAACGGAGCAAAGGTGGGAGCGTCTGGCTGAATTCGGTGCCTCGCCTTTTGCGAGCCGAACACGCTAGCTCATAATGGCGTGGTGGGTTATATGCTGGTTGAACATCAAATTGTATCAAGGCGTGGGTCGTTGGACGAGATTTATCGGCGACGTTAGGGGCACTGCCAAGAAGAGGTGATCAATCTTAATTTCCCGCATGACAGGCGCTGTATATCACAGTGCAGCGTCAACCTTGCAACATCACGCACCAGTTTTTTCAGAAGCATAATAAACATTTGTCACTCACTCACACATTTTTCATTTCTTTTATAATCAGCTTTGCATACATTCATACGACAGCACACCTGTGTTGATTTGGTCATAATTCGTGCCTACGTAAATTTCAGTTTTGCTTTACAGAACACGGTGGTGTTCAATGTTCATTGTTCATCAAGGACCAATGGCAGGGACGAATTTCATTATCTATCAGTAATCAAGCTTTTGAATTGAGTTATTACCTATGCCTCGATGGCCTTCGAGTGGAAGTATAAGAACTGTTGTAGTACACTATGTCAAGTGCTTTTCTCGTATTTTGAAAAGACCCGCGACTACACTTTTTTGTAGTTTCAGTTTTGGGTGTTTGTAAGGGAGGCTGTCAAGTCCTTGTGCTTAGTGACAGAAGGATGCCGAAGTTGGCAAACGATCTCCTACTAATAATAGGCCAGCAGCTAGCAATGGCTTCGTGGATCACTTTCAGTTATGTTTAGCCTGAGCTGATATCCTCTGAGCGGCACCTTCATGTCAGTTTTGCATCAGCTTTTTTAATATCCCGGTAAAATAAACGTCTTTGCTGCTTTCGAACACTCCCTGAAACGTTGGGACTGATTGACGCAGTTCATGAGCGGTGATGGGCGTCGTCTTTGTTTCCCTGTGGTACGCTGGATGCCGACGCGGACTCAGTGTTCATGTCACAGGCTCGCAAACAGGAAACCCGGGCCGGAGCCATTCCGGGCCGGGCAAAAAACGCCCGCCGCTGCCGAACGCTGTCGGTCGGCCTGTCAGTGTGATGACTGGGCCGTCGGCTGTACGGCAGCTGCCCGTCCAGCAGAAATCCGACACCCAATCACTGAGGGACTAACTTGGACCGCATGTCAATAGAGCTGCGGTCTAATGGGCACTTACGGCTCACATGTCGAGGTGTAACCTAAATGAGCTGGCGATGCTTGATGACTGCCACAGCAATGCGTCCACCCAGGTTTGATTGCAAAAATAACGTAATGTCACATTCTGACAAGCAAGGCTAGCGCAAAACCGAAGCGACTTTGAGACACCTTTTGAGCGGACCGCTGAACACAATGTTTCATTTTTAATTGATGCTCACCCCGAAACAATGCGATGCGGCGGTCGTGGCCGCACTTTTTGGACGCAAAGCGGCGCTGGCATTTTAAGCCTTCACGGACCAACAGTCTGTGCTACAGATGTCGAAGACCGTGAATTGACCCCTCTTTTACGGTGACGACAGACCGTTCGAACCATTCCGTCACGAAGCAGAAGCTCTTCAAGCAAGGTCAAGCCGACTTTTTTGGGTAATAAAGAAGTGAGCATTGAGCGAGGTATGCTGTGTGCATGTTTAACAACCGCATGACGAAATGGAGTATTATTGACGTTGGAAAAGTCTCATGTGTCTTATCATCCTATCCGACTGTAATTCTTTCAGCCACCAATTTCCTTCGCTCCGCGGTACTCAGCTTCTTTCTTTTTCAGAGTGCCTACTTTGAAATGAAGATAACGTCCAGTCGAGTGAATTTTAGCAATTTCCTTGGATAGCCGACGTGAACGATAAATTACTGTCAGCATTTCGCTTAGGCGATAACTTCGTTACTTCTCACTCTCATGACCCATAAATCTGGATAAATCGCTACTATTACTGAGAGCGAGGTTTGGAGCGCACCTACACCGCAGTGGCCAATAGAAAGCGGCCGTAAACACAGGACAGGGGCGCAAAAAGCTGGAACGCTGCAGGCCAGACAGAGACACTTTTATCTTGTGGTGTGACTTTGAGAGAAGCACGGCGACCGAGAGCCGGACAGAAGACATTAATCAGGATCGAATCTGATTAGGACCACATGGTTGACACCTTGCCCGGCCACGGAACCGGGGCTTATCGCTAGTCCTGGGCTTCATGATTTGGTCTTTAGGCCCAGGCCGTCGGAATCTGATCGGACTGTCCAGGGTAGGTAAGTACGATCATTTTAGCTACTGAAATAAGTGCGTTGTTTTGTGTTGAAGTGACTCAGTTCTGATCCAGATGCAAATCCTTGGCTAAATGGATTCAGAAAGTAGCGCGTTTAGTTCAACAAGCGACGCACGACAAACATTGTGTTAAAGTTCATAGTCAACTGTAGAACTACGTTGATGAGAAGTTTGATGAAGAAGTAATATTATTGGGTATGCTTTGGTTAAAAAGTGCTAACAAAAACAGCTTCGTGCACATATTCTGATTATTCTTTTGCTTTTTGTGGCCAACAGACATCTTCACACTTTGCTCAGACGGAAATCGTGACTACGAACAAAAACTTTGAACGGGTAAAAAGCAGACGGTCATGGCAGGTTACAGTCTCCAGTGCGTCTTGTAAGCCATGAGGGTATCTCGTGCCAGAAATCATTCTGTGCCTACTCCGGCAGTGAGTATGCAAATGAAAAAAAAAATGATTTGTTAATTGCGTTAAATACCGTAAATGTGTGTTTTGAAGACTCCTTAACGGTTCTGCATAGAAAGAACAAAACAAAAACTATTTTACGTAATTTCGATTATCAACGATCGTTTTGCGGAAAATTGTTTGGTAGGAACCAAATATATCTTTATAGCTACCCATGCCTGAAACTTATTTTTACCCTTTCTTATGTAAGGTCCAAATTAATGACGGAACTTCAAGCGTAATAGTATCAGGTCACCTTCATAAAGCTTATCATATCCCATCTAACAGTAAGGTCCAAATTAATGACGGAACTTCAAGCATAATGGTATCAGGTCACCTTCATAAAGCTTATCAGCTCCCATCTAACAGTATCCCCAAGCTGGCACTGATCCAAAACGAACGGATTGTGTTGTTGAGGATAGTCTCTAAGGCAAACGAACGATTCTCGTGATTGACTTGGCGATTGAAAATTGCTTGTTAGGAGGGTGTTCAAAGCTTGTTACACGACCGCCGTAACAGGAAGCCGAACAAACATCAATGCATCTATGCAAGTTTTCCTACAAGACTGATCCTTGTTGGCAGCATTCATATTAGTGTTTCGGGTCCATCGCGCTGGTCTCTATCGATTTTTGCAGCCTTTTTGTTTGAGCAGAATGACTTGCACGAACGTCCTTGTGAGCGGATTACACTACGCTCGAACGATGAGCTGCTGTCAATACTGTGTCCCCTGAGCTAGTTCAGCTAATTTTGCACTCCGAAAGTCGCTTGGGGCTGCGCTGACAGAGGTAGATCAATGGCATGACATATTCTGAAGAGGGTCAAGCTATTGAGGCCTCATGCAATATGCAATTGCAGAGTAGAACTAGAATTGTTGTTCTGGACACGAAATGGCAACGTCTTGCCTATGTATTGTGTGAAGTTGGAATGACTTGCATTTTTACTTAAAAAATGCTGTATAAATGCAATTAAATAGGACCAAACTGTTGTTACTACCCCGACGTCTATTGGTCTTTATTGCCTTATTTGTAGACCATTACATATGTACAAGGGCTTGACTTTTACACCCATATTTGCACCCGATGCGCTCGATTCGAGTCGAGTTCGACTCGATCCTCGATTCGAGCCCAAGGTAGCCAAAATTTCTTGGCGCCTTCGGTGGCCGGCTGGTGACCGTTGGAACTACCGCTGGCCAAGCTGTCCTGGCTCGAAACACCATCAGACGCCGTCGAACGGGAAGGAACCGGGGACACCCGTTTGCCTCCATAGTTACACGGCATTTATCGTGTCCCTACCGGCGCCGTTGGCCCGGTCTCGCTCGACCTCCGTGGCGGCTCGGCGGCAGCCGACAGTCGGTAGCCGAGGAAAACACACAGCGGCGGAGCTCGTCTGGCGCCTGAGCAAATATTTGACCGGGTACAATGAAAACAGAGCTCAAGGGCCACTTGGCATGGGCCGTCTGGGGTGAGGGGTGCTCTGACACTGATGGCGTGAGTCACCTCTGTCTGCACTGTTTTTAGTGACATCAAACGGACCCTGTGTGAAAATATTCCGATCGATTTGTCACCAGCCGTGTGCCCGAGGGTGCCACTCACCTTGTTTGCACTCGGTGCGCACGTTGTTCTCCATGTTGTTCATCTGCTGCTGGACGCGCTTGAACTGCTGGCTGGCGGCCGTGGAGCGGCGGCGGTACAGCACGCCGGCCACCAGGGTGGCAGCGGCCAGCACCAGAGCCCCACTGATGACCCCGGCCAGCAGGGCGGTGGGCGCGCCGCCCGCCGGAGGGCCGTACTCGAGGGTTCCCGGGCGGAACTCCAGCAGCCGACCGATGCGGACCCGCACCTCCTGCGGTCCGCTGGCGTCCGTCGGGGGTACACACACCAGCTGCCGGAGCGCCAGGGAGGTGACGTTGCACGGCTGATCGCCGACGGTAACGCTCGCGTCACTGGCGTCCGCGGCCAGGTTGAGGTTCTCTCCACGCACGAGGAGCGGCTCGCCGGTGTAGGCCCGCCTTCCGTCGGTGAAGGGAAGCACCAGGGGGTCCGGCACGTACGTCATGGTGGCCCTCAGGTCCGGCTGACGCGCCAGCTGACGCACTGCTAAAACATTGTCCATCTGGAATCCGATGAGCACCTCTCGACTGGCGGCAGCTGGTAGCGCCAGACCGCCCCTGGCGTCTGTCCGGCTGGCGTTGTAGCTGGTGTCCGTCTGTGGCTGCCACCGCGGCGAGTCACACTGAAGTCGCGTGGCGTCGAGCGCAGTGCACGGCGCGCGGCCTACTTCTCTGCCCTCGCTGAAGATGAGGATCTGGGGACTCTGTACCGTGTCCAAGTGTGTGCCGTGAACGGAGATAAGCCGGCCACCGCTGGCGAACGTCCGCAGAGGCCGGATATCAAGCACGCTGGGGTCGGGGGTGTAGACGAAGGGAGAGCGCAGCGTGCGCTCCGCACCGTCCACGGTTAGCCGCAGAAGCTGCACCGAGCTGGTGCCGTTACTGGGTGGGGTTAAGCAGGTGAGGTTGGCCCCGACGGTGACCTCGCACGGCCGCCCGTCCAGCGTCACAGAGTGGTTGGAGCCCGTGTGTAAGTTGGCGCCGAGAAGTGTGATGCGCGTGCCGCCGCTCAGAGGACCTCGGTGTGGCGTGATGCCCGTCAACTCCAACTCCTGGGGGAGGCACGGAACACACCGGGTTAGCACGCGACTTCGATACAATCGCCGCCCGCGCAGCCCGCGACGCCGAGACAAAACACTGCGTCTACCGATCGGCGCAGCGGCAAATGGCTCTCCGGTGTCGAACGTTTTGTTACTGGAAAACCATCTCTGCGGGGTGTTGTTGAGCTGTTTAACATTCGCTCGGCCGCCGTGTGACAGGCGCCAGACCCTATTCTGACCGACCGCATCACTGTCTGCCGATCAGCATTGTCAGCGCGTGCACCGCACATTTAAATGCAACTAACCGCGACAGAGCGCGAGCGCGGCTGCCGAATAAACACCCAGTGCATTTGGCGAGACCAGTGCGCTTCAGTAGGTATTAACCCTTTCAACCAACTCACCTTGAAGGAGAAGCGCTGTGCCGCCTCCGAGTACCCAGCCGCGTTCCCCACCAGAACAGAGACTCGCTGCTGGCGCGAGACGGCCGCGGTGCGACAGACGAGCCTCACAGACACCTCGTACTCGACCAGACTGCACGAGGCACCGCCCAGCACCACTGTGTCCCGCACCTCCGACTCAGAGCGACCCAAGTTGGAGCCCTCGATGGTGAGCAGGGTGCCGCCCTCCAGAGGGCCAGAGTCGGGCCAGATCTACCGAAAGAGGTGGCAAGACGACTGTCAAACCTGTTCGTGGAGGGATTGGTTAGCGTCTGAACTATTCACAGTTTTCAATCAATTACGTGCTTTGTCGTGCTATATTTAATCTTAAACCAGTATGCATATTTAACTCACTAGTTGAACTGAATGCTCAGTATTCAGCTCGAAGCACCGATTGATGTATTCACTTAACCGTGACATGATGGGTTTACAGACACTCAAACCAATCACTGTCCAAATCAGTTAGCGCCAGGTCCGGCCATCCGAGAGGTGAAGGTCCGAATCGATCGGCACCCATTCCCGGGAAGCGTTTCAGAGTCATGGGATGTAGCTATGTCTGATGGAGCTCCGTCGAGTGGAGGACACGTGTGAGCTGTAAAATGTATGAGCCAGGGTGGCTCTTATCTTGAGGCGGCTCGCGGGGGCATCGGGTGCCGCGTGTTGCAGCTCGGCGCGCGCCAGATGGATTCGCCGGCCGCCGCGCTCACGGCCGACCGACGGCCGTGCAGCCGGAGCCAACCGCTCCACTGGTAAGCCAGACAGATGTGCGGCTAGTTTGGGGATCGCACACGGAGATGCATCACGTGAGCACAACAAAGGCCGCGGCGGTCCGAGCAGCTCCGCTGACCCGTCGGCCGGTCGTTCGTAAAAAAAAAAAACGCTTGAAGAGCGACGCGGCGCCGCCGGCGGGTCAGCAGGTCTCCTGTGGCCTCGTTCTGTGACCCGTCGGTGACTCGGAGTCAGTCCTCGCGCCCGGGAACGGCAGAAGCAAGCGGCTGACGTCGACACGACGTTCGTGGGTGTCAATGAGGCGTCGGCCGCGCCGCGGATAAATCCTCGAGCCGACAGCCGGCCGGCAGTCGCGGGGTCCAGTTGCGTCAGCCGCGGCTCGGACCGGGTCTCGGGTGACTGTCGACGGTTGGACGCGGTTCTGGCGAGGTCCCGGCGCGGCGCGGAGCTGTCGCGGCGGTCCGTCTCGGTGTGCCTAGGCTTCTCTGACCCCGGCCACGGTGTGGGTCCCGGCCGACCCGCTCCAGACCGGGTGGGGTCAGGTGGGAACGGGCCAGCGGCTGGCCCTCCCCGGCGTCTTGCAGTAGCGCACAGACGTAAATCAGGACCCCCGGCGGCCGCCACTGACGAGCGGCGTGTACCGGCCGACATTAACATTCCCCGCGTATGTTTACGGCGAAACGGCGCGGCGCTTTGACCGGCCACGGCGCGACCCAGCTGAGGTCGTAACTCATCTCCGACTGCTCCCCGGTGGCCGGACACGGCGAACCGTCGCTCTACAGCGGCTAAAGTGACTCCGGTGGCCACAGTGGCATAGATAAACACTCGGGACATGACACTTCACCCCACCCTCCGCCGTCGCGGCCACCGGGAGTGGCGGCCCCACCTGCTGCTGTGAGTGACCTGACCGTGACCTGGCAGTGACCCGTTCGTGATTTTCCATGATCTGACTGACCTGGCTGTGGTAGTGACCCATTCATGACCTGTCATTGACCTGACGGTAGCCCCTGATGACCCACCTTGGTGATGGTCGGCTTTCCGCAGCTCTCGTGTCTCTCGGCGCAGTTGGGGGCGTATTCGCAGCGGTCACCGCACCAGGCGCACTTGTAGCGCGGGTCGCGGGTGACGCACAGCGAACAATCGGCGTGGCCGCGGTGGCTGCCCAGCACGCCGCACTTGTAGAGCGTGATGTTGGTGGCGTCCACGAGATGATCGCCATCCCAGACCACCGTCAACCGGCCCGTCTCATTCGCTGTGGCTGCAGAGTAGGAGAACTGAAAGAAGAGAATGGAAGAAATTACGTCAGTCAGCGCGGAAGAATTCAGCGCCGCCGTGAATATCGCAATGGAATATGCTTGTAAACGAATTTTTCCATGGCGCTGCTTGTTGGTGAGGCTGAACTATCAGCATCCGTGGGTGTAGCTGGTTAATCTTTACGGCTCGGAATGCATATCAATATGGTGGGCTGCATTCTGAGTGTCTGTATGTAGATGACCCACCCCGACCGCGGTGCAGGGGAGGCTCGACCGACCGGGCGGCTGGTCGGGGCCGACCGGTCACTGCCTGTCATGTGTGCGGGGCCGTTTAATGCGCCGCCTGGATCGCAGGTGCCTCGGTGGCCGGTCCGTGGACTGGGCCAACACGGTCTATCCGCCGGCCGATCTGACCCGGCGCAGTGGGCCGGCGCGCCGGAGCGGCCGGTGCTGACTTATTGCCGGCGGTATCACGTCATCAGCGGGTGGATGGTCCTTCATCACTGAACGGGTGGTGATCGGGGCGCGACTGCGCCACCCAGCCGGCCGACACCTCCCCTGGGGTCAGTACCGGCGCGGTACCGCCCCTGCCTGGTGGGTCGGACAGGCGCGGTAACCCGCCCACCCAGCCGACCGGCGCCTTCAGCTGCGGTGGGCCACGCCCTTTCACGGTGGGACGGTCCGGCAAAGGCATATACCACTTAGTGATTGGCTCCTCCCCTTCTCCGACAGAAAAGCTAGAGAGGAGAGTGAGAGTGGGCCCACCAAGATTGGTGGGCTATGGGCACTGACCGCCTTCTGAATGGCTTGTATATTCTCCCCGCAGTCGCTACCTCCCACTATCTCCTAACAGAAGATATATCTCGGTAAGCCCAATTTGATGGCAGCAGATAACTACCATTCAGCAGCATCACTTACAAGGAGAAAGTTTCTCCACCCAGATTCCCATAGTGCTCCTCATTTCATTTGGTCAGAAACTCCACCTTCTTTGGACCGACCCGATCAGAACCATCGGATCTACCTCGGAATTCCGAGTATCTTTTCGGTTTTATGTATATCGAAACTTTTCAGGCAAACCACTGTCATTCAGTTCATCAATCAAGCAGCATGCTTAACTGAGTCGAATACGAAGACTTGCAATTTTGTACCAAGCCCGCACGTGGTGAAAAAAAAGTTTCATCGCTCATGCAAACAAAGACATACACATTACACCCAGATTCAAAGGACCATTTTTGCTGCTCCATAAGACTGTGACTTCACGTCCTCAACGATTCACCTCTTGAATAACCTCAGCTATCATACCCTGATCATACCTGCGCTATTACGTCCAGCACACGCCATGCGGCCGTCGCTATTCGTGCTAGTCACCGGCAGGGGTAGCGGGAAAATGCCACAGGAACTCGCTTCATGACTCAAGGCATTTTTAATTCACGCCTGAGCGTCAGCAAACAGAACATGTTTATTCACCAAAAGTTTCCCGGTACGGCAAATTGGAGAACTTTGGCAAATAACTTCCTTGTGTATGTTGTCCTTGCATGAAAAATTGCGAGGTTTCCATCGTCGTTAGCGAAGTTTCGGCCGATTTTTTTCTCTGGCCAACTGCCGGGTTGACTGCATAGTTCACAGCCACAGTCAGGCTATCAAAGTCAGACGGTAACACACGAGCTCCATTGGAGACCCTCGGGTTTGCCCTGCGCCGACGGTTATTAATGTATTTTGGGCGCCGGGAGAATTTACGGCGTGTTAATTCATCACGTCTACAGAACGTCGTTTGTGTTGGGAGCGGCTGTTGGCCCGGCTAAGCCGACGGTATGTGTCCCGGGAAGGTGAAGTGCTCTTGGTCCGGTCACGAGGCGTCGTAGTGGTGTCCGATGTGGTGTACCGTATCGCTGTAAGTGTCCAGTGAAGTGACTACTCAGTGTTCAGTGTCCGGTGCCGTGTCTGGGGGATGTTTCCGTTTGATGTTCAGCGTTATCCGCTTCTGACGCGATGTTAGAAAAACTGTTCATTCTGTACCACGTATAGTGCGCTCATTTTTGTTCTGAATCCGTCGCTACCCATTAAAAAGTAAGTGGAAGTGGCTAATGTCCGGTGCAGTGTCTGCTGGACTGGACGGACCGGATGCCATGGGTTGCTCATTGCGAGCTGTCTCCCAGCGCTCACGAGCGTTCATTCGTCACCGACCCGGCGCGGCAGCCGAGGCGACTCCCTCGCGCCGGGGGATGGCCCAGGGGAGCGCCGACTATCGACATCATCTAACGGCCGCCAAATGTAGCAGCTAGGATGGAGAGCGACCCCTCGCAGAGACCGGTCATTATGTCGTAATGAACAGCGGGTGAGCAGGCCGCATCGGTCGTATATGCCTCCGCGGAACGGCCGGTGAACTATTCCGGGCCGTGGGCTGAGCACGAACCGACAGTGACATGAGCAACCACCTGCTGCCAATTATTCGGCGCACGAATTCGTGGTATCCGACTGAGCGAATGAGCGTGATAAAATCAGAATGTGAGAGAATGTCGCATCACGCCCTGATCAGATTGTTCAGTGTATAATTATAATTCCATCGATGTGTCACTATTTTTATTCTAATTAATTCGGGAGTAGATAGATCAGCTGAATATGTAAACACGAAGTCAAAACACAGCTCGATATAATGGATCACTTCTGTTCCCACTCCCACTACCATTAGTACTCTCAGACATTCAGATCATATGCGTAATAAAACGTCTCATTATAAGCTCGTAAACCGTATCAGCCTGGGTATCGCAGACCTGCCTGAGGTTCACGGACCTTCGTTCGCTCACCTGCACCGTGATGTCACATGAGACAGAACGGATGAAGGGCGTTGCGAATTTGAAATAACAGTAGCAACAAAATCGTGCCCTTATATCATATATCATAATTTTGAAGATGCATTTAAGAAAACATGCGTTACAGAGCCTTCGGTAAATGATAATTCACTGAAGAGAGCTCAATTATCCTGCACATTCTTAGTTACTGATTCGCCCATTCTCTCGTCCCTCATCCAGTCATTTGCCTGTCCCATTACCCATTCCTGCTTCGGACTCACCCATTGATTTACCGATTCTTATGACTTTCATGCAAACCCATTCCTGATCTCCTTAGCCCATCCTCTAGACTCCGATATCCTCTACAGCTCGCCCTCCCCCCGCCCGCGACTCACCCGTTTCTGAGCGCAGGTGACGGTGTCGCCGTCCAGGACGGCTCGCACGCGGTGGGTGCGGTCGCCGAGCCGCAGCAGGCACTGGTAGTTGGAGCCGCGCGGCGCGTTCTCCAACTGCAGGCGGATGGCGGTGGGCGCTCCGTCCGGTACGAGCAGCTCGTCGGCGCTGGGCCGGCGCAGGCGCGGGCAGAACGACACGCCCCGCCGCTCAGACTCGCCTGAGGACTGTGGGAATAGGGGATAGGGGTCAAATAGAGTTGGGGGAAATGCTCGATATTTTGGCTGCAAGTGGCGACGCTTAGGGTTGACTAATTCATAGTCGCTCGGTCTTGTCAGTTTTGGTCAGCTAATTATGCTGCGTCGAAAGGTAATCAAAGTAAAGACGTCAAAACTAGTGGTGCCAATTTCATGAAATTTCAATTCCAATTCCGATCCAATTCCAAGAAATTGCCAAGTAAATTTCCAATTTTGTCCAAAGCGGGGGCTATTCCAATTTTTAACGATTTTTGCATTTTTTGCGTAAATTTTAAGTGTTTAAAAGCGTTTTAAAGGCCTCCGTTTTAAAATTTTAAATTTTAAAGGCCTTGTGTTCCGATTAATTTCCAAAAAATGTTAAGAATTCCGTCCAAATTCCAAATTGGAATTGGACAAAAATTGGAATTCCAAGAAAAGAAATTCCGATTGGCACCAATAGTCAAAACAAACACAATCAAAACAAAGAGTAATGAACAAAGAAACTAAAATCACAGTGAAGTGAATTGTGTTGTTTATACCAGAGGGATTGTCTGTATTGGCTCCAATTTTCCTCGATTAAATCATTTGCATTCAAGGCCCGCATCAGTATCACAAACGCCGCCCTGTTTCTTTGTCGGGCTGCGTCCAGCCGTGCGCACTGGCTGGCGCCGTCCCTCAGTCCCCGCCTGGCGCCGTCCCTCGGCCCCGCCTGGCACCCAGTCCCGGGTCGCGTGGGCCGGTCGTCTGCGGCTGCGTTACGCGCCGTCCCGCGTTCCGCGGTCGCATGACTGTGGTCGGTCTTTGTGGGCCTCGGCCGGAAATGGAATATGTAGTTGGAGCTACAGGCCACCTCACAGCGTTGAACAGTAGCGGGCAGCAGGCTCTTTACAAGGTCCAACACAGCGACCTTCTCCTGTCCTTTAAAATACAGTAGCATAAATTCACATTGCTAGATACTTGTACTACTAAGCATTGTAATGGCATAATGAGTTGTCGCCCAGTAATTTTGCCGGGAAGTGTCCTGCAGTTTTCTAATGCTAATGAGGTCCGTTTGTCATTGCAGCTCTTTGCAGGCCTGCTATCGGGGTGCACAGTCTGACAGGGAAAGGAATTGGAGCGGCATGACGGTAGCCCAGAATTGGGGTGTCTATGACAGAGTGATAAGTAGCCCCAAGTACTCACATTTTCTCCGTAGACGACCGTTCGCCGGCAGGAGGTGGCGTTGTGCGTGCAAATGTTGTCGTACACACACCAGTTGCACGCCCAGGCCGAGCTGGCGCAGTCGGCGCACGTGGCGTGCCGGCCACAGTCGTAGTAGGAGAACTCGCGCGACACAAAGTCCTTGTTGGTCTCTGAGGAGCGCACGGAAAGCGGCACGGCCACGTGGTCGGCTCCGGGCGGCACGGCGGGCCGCAGCTCGGGCGGCGGCGCCGTGCACTGCAGGCCTCCCTTGGTGGGCAGCGCGTCACTCGGACTGGCGTTCCCGAACACACACTGGTACTTGGCACCGGTAGGTAGCGCTGGCAGAGTGCTCAGACGAACACGGATCTGCAACGGTGACGCAAATGAGACTTAAATAGGGCCGTGATTGTTGTTAATGAGAGTTACGTTAGGCAGCATAAGGTCAGGAAGACCTGAAGGCTTGTTAAATTTATTTATTTATTGTGATATGACAGTACGATTAAAGATAATAGTTTGCTTCCGTAGCTCACATCTGGGCTGCGGACGTGGATGGCACAGAGGAAAGGATCGCGAGCTACCTCGATGAATAATCAAAAAGAGTAATAGCCCTGCAGAAACACAGCTGAAATATAACCGCCGGGTCCGGGTCGGGCATTACCATAAGTGATTCGCTAAGCTTTCTGTGATTCTCCTTCACGGCGTCTGTGACCACGCTGCAGGGGGGGAGGGGTTCAGCCCGACAGGGGGTCCCGGCGCGGCCGGCGGGTACGATTCGCCACGCAGCGGATTGGTGAACCCTCCCGACGCCCGTCTCCGCTACCTGTGACGCGCACAGCGCCGAGAACACGACACCAAGGTTACCATAATCCCACGCAATCGGGCTACCATCCCGACTGCAAGAACTCCCTTAATTCGCGACTCGGTCGTGACTCCCGTCATTGTGCTGTCGGCCGGCTATATTATTAGGCCTTCAACGCAACTCGACTGTTTTTAGAACGATTACCACCGGCGAAAAACGTCACTAATGCATTTGAAAAAGTCTGACGATCAGGTTGGTGAGTGGTCAGCTTGCGTGCTTTTATGCGATTGTTATTCCCGTCGTGATGGTGTTGCAATGAGTCTAAGTCCTGCCGTAAAATGCATCTGATAGTGCGTAAATGGCCCAAACAGTCGGCCTTCGCTTTTTCTGCTCGATCAGATTTGCGCTGAGTGCTGCTGAATTCTTGGGTCTAAGCTCGTCAAGCGTCAGTACTCAGTACACAACTGCAGTGAGTCTGATAAAACCACCGACTGCTCTGCAGCTAAGAGAAGGCGACGAGTTTACCGGCATATCGCTTACAGGGATGCACCTAGATAACGAATAATGCATTAGGTGAGACAGGTAGAACACCTTGAACGAGCACAGCGCTGCACGGCGAGACTTGTCGACGGAATTCCAGCATCGGTCGACAGTGGCAGCCACACGTAAAAGGACCGCCTATTTGTATGACATGCCATTAGATTCGTGGAAGGGCAGATAACGGAATGTGTGGTAGATGTAAGGCGTTTGGAGGTCATCCTTGCCGCATTTTCGGAAGCAGTAAACGTCAGCCTTTGATGTGAGCAATGCATGAAACGAACATGTTACATAAAATTTGAGTGCTTTCTGAAATGTTTGAACGCAATATTATAGCTGCTTGTTTGATTTTCCTCAATAAAATGCACATATTTCGCATATAAGATAATAGCAAATATTCAACTTATTTTAATGGGGCAGTAAGCATGCAGGTAAAATCTGCCCCAGCTCTCATTACATGCCGATAAGGGCGGCATGCGGTGGCTCGTGCGGTCTCATTGTTGCACGGACTGATCGGTGGCGTCTGCTCGTGCCGAGCTGACTTACCGTGGCGGCGTCCGAGATGGGCAGACTCTGCGGCTCGATGCTCTGAAAGTCGATACAGCGACTATTGGTGTCCAGCGCCAGCCAGCGCTGCGTGCTGGCGCTGGCGTCGCTGCAGTCGGGCTTGACCGTGCACCTGAAACCAGACGCAGATAGCATCACATCGCCGGCCGCGGCATACTAAGCGACCCGCCGCGACCCGGCCGGGGCGCGACTCGGCGCTGCGCTGCGGCCCGCCCCGCCCGGCCGCCGGAGACTTCAACGCGCGACGCGTGCGTCCGCGCAGCAGCCGCCTGCCGGCCGGCGGCATGCTGCGCCGCATGACAGGAGACCGCAACGATGGGCGCGCACAAAAAGCTAGCCTCCGTGGAGCGGTGAATGCAACGCGGCAGCGACAAAAACCCGACGCGCCTGTGCGTCGCCGATGGACGACTGAGTCGAACCGGCACACGACCCGAGCCATTGAGGCCACCCAAAGGCAGGCGCCGGTAAAAACGGACATTTGTCATTGGTTACGGAGGCGCGAAGAGGAGATGGGTGGTTTCCCGGAGCGACCACCACGGAACTAGAGGTGATATGTTGCACCGTGTGTTATCATTCCCACGTATCGCACCTCTAATCGGTTGATCCTCTCCGCAGTTCAGACTGAGTTCGAACGCGTGATGCGTTAAGATGACCGTCCTAGTGACAACTGTTGGCGACGGGTCTCCCTGAGAAGGTGGCCCGCCCGGTCCGCCTCTGTAACGAAACACGTGCACTAATCAGGCTCCAAAGTATTGCCGCCGAGCCCTATCAGCATGCTAATGCCGACGGTTCGTCTTCATTTACTATTGATGAGATGCTGGTCGGCCTATCGGGAAAAATGTCGCGACGCAGGCCATTATTTGGTGTAGCTGCGCTCGGGAACCTGTTGCAGACTGCGGCGGCGGCCAGTGGAGCGGGCGGGGACGCCGCGAGCCGCCACCGAAGGACGGACCAACAGCCCACTCAGATAAACGAACTGGGCTGGACCGGCGACCGGCCGTCCTATCGGCGGTCCCATCGGCCGGCCGTAATTTAGCCGCGCCGACCGGCGCGTGACGTACGTATCGGCACTGCCCGCGCTCCGACAACCCAAATGCGTTGCAGAAATTAATTGGCCGCTTCGCCGCCCGATTCGCGTCGAGTGCAAAGAACATTTGGAATCTGAACACCGGTCGTTTGGTGGCCGGTCGGCCGACTGGTCAGCGGCGGACGGACGGCGCGGCGCGGTCGTTTGCCGAGCGGTCGTCTGTTGGACTAAGTCGAGTTGTGTGCTCAGCTATTGACTCGGCGCTGTTTTATGTGTGCTCGGTGCGGCGGCGGGCGCCGCTCAATGATATCATGTCTCATCAGGACGGCCATCTGGAGAGGCTGCAGTGAGTGGAGCCGCCGGCACAGAGCGCTGCCGACCGGCTGATGCAGCGATTAGCGGCTGAGATGTCACGCTCTCCGTGCGCTGTTTCTTCGACACATCAACGTGGTGATCCGATCCTTGTTCACATTACTTCTGCTGTCTATGATTCGATTCTAACCACCCACATGTGCTTTTTCATTGCTGTTTTATGCGCTAGCGTATCTTTTCTCTCTCTTTCTTCTCTCTCTCTCTCCCTCTCTCTCTCTCTCTCTCTCTCTCTCTCTCTCTCTCTCTCTCTCTGTCTCTCTCTCTCTCTCTTTCTCCATCGTATCCTCTGACCCCCATACCTACTCCTCACATTCCAACCATTTTTGTCGCTTTTAACTTTTCCCTCCATTTCGGTCCCACCCATTTTTACGATCCATTTCCCTTTCCGCTCCACTCCCATCCAGCATTCCACATCCAGCTCCAGCCACTTAGCTCACCTCTTTTCCAGCGAGCACCAGCCGCAGTAAGGGTCACCAGAGTTGAGACAGGACGAGCAGTCAGTGAACACCTCGCATGTCTGGACTCGCATCTTGGTTACCTGAAACAGTGGAACATCACCGGTTAGCGTATCAGAGCTACTAAACACATAATCGCGGCCAGTGACACATCAGATGTCTAGAAGTCAGTGTAGTGACATGACATCAGCAATGGAGCATAGGCCAGTCAAGCACCGTTCGTCACTTATTACCATCGTCAACATCTCTGCACCCCTGCGTCCTTTACGAGGGGTTACAGCTGCGCTCAATGGCTCTGAACAGCCAAGAGTTCCTTGCCAGTGCAGTGGCACCGCCGGCACCGCAGTGCAGCTGCTGGTACGCCACTTACAGATGGATGGTGCGCACTAAGTTATGGCCCGGGGCCGGCCAGATACCCTCCGGAGCTGGGAGCGGCTCATGACTGCCGTGATTTGTGGCATCACGGATAAACAACTTGTAGCGGGCAACGAAAATACCGGGAGATGCGGGGACGCGTGGGGAGGCTGTGGAGTGTCTAAGACGGTGGTGAGAGGTCTAGAGAGAAGGATTGAACTGCGCTTGGCTTGTTGGGATTTTCTGTGTCTCCTTAACGACGCGCTGAGAGCTCAGACGGAGCTGCTGGTGCGGCTCGGCGGCCGCTCTCGGCTCTCGACTCGGCGCCTGGGTGGTCCAGACATGCACAATGAATGGGTGCAGTGGGGCGGCGGCTGCAGCGGCGGCCTGTGGGTCGCGTTCGCTGACTGACCGAGCCGCCTGCAGTGGCCCGACGGGGCGTGCCCTCGAGCGCTAACAATACCCGACCCGGCACCGCCAACCAGCTGGGCAGACCCGGACAATGACACACATACTCTCAGCAAGAGGCTCCGGCCTGCATGCCAGTTCGTTATGCAAACTATGCATGTGGGCAGTTTCAGAGTTTGTCTTAATAGGTTTTTAAAAGGCTTTAATAGTACCGCATGCCAAACTGTTCACTGAACTGTAATAAAAAGTGTCTTACAGTGCCGGCCGCCTGCCCTTTCGTTGTAAGCTCAACATGCAGTCTGATCTTGGTAATTCTTTGGTCATCCTTTTATTTTCATTTTCATTCCGCGTCCCGGATAAACAGTTCTGTGAAGACCGTTACAACAATGCCACCACTTCCTCATGGCTGCACGAAGCCGCACGCTGATCTGATCTCTTGGAGCAGCTCGACAAGATGGCAAAGTCTGCGGGAGGCCGGCTCGCATCCGGCATTGTCCGGCGCTGCAGGCCGGACGGCCGTGAGGGCTCGTGGCTCATCTGCATCCGCGCCGGACTGCCCTGAACGGCTCGTCGCCCCGCTGACCGACGGCCGGACGGACGGACGGACGGACGGACGGACGGACGGACGGACGGGTGGACCGACGGACGGACGGACGGACGGACGGACGGACGGAGACATAGGGTCGGACGAACCGATGGGCCGGCGGACGTACGGACGGACCGAAGGATGCCCGAATCTTGAAGGAAACTCAGGAACGTAGCGATCATGGGGACTGTTAAGGCATCCATTGAAGTGTCTAGTTGGGCTGATAAACTAATTGGTGGACAAAGGGACGGGAGAACTGGCAGACGGACGAATTGCTGTTCACCTCAACCTTCCCAGCTCGCCACCCCTGAAGTGCGCTAACGATGAGCGCTAACTGTGCAGAGTCTGTTTTTTTTGCGCGACTGCATGTGGAACAAAGTAATTATTCAGTTACATCAGGGATTCATTTAAGCGACCCCTTATTCCCGGCGGTGAATCTTAATTGCATGTTGTAGGTGATATGTAGTTTGCATATGCATGTTTCCCCAAGCCGTAATTATGGTGTGGGAAGGAAATATGTCCCTTTGGCTTTGTCATTTTACAAGTGCATACGCCTGTTGCAAGAGCTGCGGGGCTCGGTGGCGTGTGTTGCATGTTTTGTTCAAGCGCACGCCTCATTGTGGTGGCTGTATGAGCGCTGGCCAGGCCGACTCCAGGATTTTCATCGAACGATGGCGGGTCGCATTGTTGTCAGACTGCGGGCGGCGGTCGGTGTTGGCCGGAAATTCCCGCGGTACCTCCTATGGGCGCTGCCGTGCCGGTGTCGCCATCAGCCCCTGTCGGCGGACACGGTCGGCGACAGGGCCGCTCGGCGGGCGCGGCGCTCACCGTCGGGTCAGCGCGCCACGTGGGGCGGCCCGCTATCGCGCCATCGCCATTTGCGCGGTATTCGTGGTGACGGGGACGGCGCGCGGACCGCATGACGACGAGCGGCGCCGGCGCGCGCTCGCCAGTGATCAGAGGCGCGCGTCCAGAGAGACGAGAGCGGCCACAAAAAGCTGGTCGTTCGCTGACAGCCGGTCGGTCGAGGACCGGCAATCGGGAGTGGCTGCGTCTCGCGCCGGGCCCGGCCGGATCAGCCTCACAGGTGTGGGCCGCGCTGTGAACCAGCCGGCGCCAGCGACCAGCGCGGTGTTTTTCTCAGTGACGCGGCTCTCCAGTCAGTTTGATGATGATTTATGATGGCTGGCGTACTGTTAACACAATGTTCAGTGAAGGCGGCCTGCAGCCCGTGTGACTGCGGCGGACAGCGTCGGCCGCGTTTAATTGCTACAGTGAATGGGAGGATTGGGTGTCACTGGACGCCGATGCATGCTAGAACTGCGGCCGAACTCGGATAGGGAGGGTCTCCCCCCCCCCCCTCCACCCCCTCTGCAGCGAGCCGAGGTGATCGCAACGAGTCGTCGGCTGAGTGATAACAGAACTGGTTTGGAGCAGCCCAACCGATCGGCTAAGAGCAGTCCGGAAGTAAAAAGTCACGACGTTGTCGATAGATACGATTTGGACGCGCTGAAGCGACGCAGTGTGGAGGGGCGCTCTGGGGTTTGCAGACGGCACAGACATCACGCACAGACCCGGACAATCACAGCGGCACTTAGAGCTCACCGGATCCCTCTACACAATACACAGCTCTATCGGCCAAATGTCACGGGCAAACCCAAATTAATCATATTCTGCAGACCGCGTGCTGAAATATTTGTGCGCAGTCTGAGATAGTGAGGCAATACAAAAACGAGAAAATTACAGATTTTAAGACAACCGACATAGGTATTCAAATAATGAAATGCCGATAGGCTTTCTATACAATGTGTCCGTGTAGTTTTTTAACCAAATTTGTCACATTTGTTACCAATATCAATGTAAAATAAACCGAGATCATGTTAAGCATCGTACTTTTATCGAACAACTCATTACTATTGGGCTGAGTTCGTATTTTTATTGGTTTGTACCTTGTGCATTGAATTATTCAAACATCTGACGGAAAGAGTGACCATAGTGTGTTCAATGTGCTGAATTTAACTACCTTCAAATTCATCTTATTGCAGCCTGAATTTGTATAGCCCGCTGCGTTAATGTTTGAGATATATTAATGTTCAATGATTTTCCAGACTATCCGACTCAATCGATCTTTGTCACTAATTCAGCTGCAATTTATCAGTTCGGAAACCGAGTCTCCTCGATGGGACAGACGACGTTAAGCTGAAACACAATCCCATACTCGATCATTGAAACCGCAGAGGAGGATCACTCTTCTCCGGAGCTTAGAACATTTTTAATGGACAGATGGCTCTGAAGTCACGACTTAAATTCTAACCTTGAAATCGGCTGGCATTGGTGCCTGGTTTTATTTGTAGAAGTGAATTATTTCACTTCACATTTTGCCAGTTTGCTAGATGATACAGTTGTATTTTTTGAAAGTTTTTATATAAAAATTACGAACAGCGTATTGATAATTAGATGTTGATAACTAGAAGCTATTGTAATAATCCTTTTCCACGACAATGAATGATTTCAGTGATATTTTTGTGACCTGCAATGGTGCGTTATTTCTTTATTTATCTGTATCCTGCCTTGCTATTTTATATTCATAAGTAATACGCATTGACACATGCCATGAGCTCTGACTTTCTACCGTCCTGTGAAGTTGTCACTCCAGCGCAAACGCTGCCTCCCCATCGCACCCTAACACCCCTCGCCCTGTCCCACCCCGCCCCTCACGCGCGAAGCGTGCCGGGTCACCGCGAAAGACAATGGGTTACGCCGAGCCGGCCGTTGACCGTTGCTCGACACACACAGACATACAAACACACCACGCGGCGACCGCGATCGCTATCGGTAGGACTGCGGGGACGCGCAGCTTGCCCCTGGAGTCGCCCTTCCTCAATCCTCAGTGTGAAGCACACCCCCTGGCCGGCTCGGAGCCCAGAGAGCCTCCTCAATAAAGGGACAAAAAGTGGTAGCGGGTGGATGTGTGTGCACTCTGACGCACGGAAGATGAGGCCCACGTGATAGGGGTCATCACGAGACCATTAGGCCGCTCCGGCGCAACTAATCGATGCGGTAGGCTCGTTTAGGCGGGCGCCCAGCGGCGGTCGATGGTGGGACGGATGGGTCGGCGGCCGCCGGGGCCTGCCGCGGCCCGGGTAGGCTCCTGTTCAGAATCGGAGTCTCCCCGGGAGTCGAGTCTCGGGAGCTGTGGTCTCGGCAGGGGCCAGAGTGTTTCCGGGTTTGGTCGGGAGCGGTGCAGTCGACAGGCGGCCTCCCACGGAGACACCCTGGCCGCGTAGAGAGTTCCAGGGGCCGCCCTGATCAGCAGACGTAGACTGAGTGCTCCTGACACCGGTTTCGGCAAGGCTGAAGGACGTATTTTTGCTTGTAAATGATGCCTCTAGCTGATGAAAACTCCCATGTCATTTCAATTTACATGTGCCGATTTGTTAGTGCTGGTTTGTTAACATGAGATTCTCATCACTAGTTCCCGCATTAACATACTGAATGCTTGCTTCGACGCACCATTTTTATGCCGTCCATGTGATTTGGTACATCTATGTAAGAAGTTTGCTTACTGAAAGGTCAGGCATCTTTGAATTATGACCGTCTTGTGAATAGAAACGTTGTATGTTTGATAAATATGTTCTCCCTCCGATGGTATGTGATTCAGCTTGATTATGAGCTTGCAATGCGCATAAAGAATGACTGTTTTATCGAAGCGAATGCTTGCATATTTTTCCAAAGTCTCAGAAAGGTCATAGTCGCGGTAAAAAATAACTAGGAAGTCTGACTTCTATACTCTTATGTAAAAGCTGATGGAAGTAAAATCTTGCCAGATCGCAGTGCTAAAGAAACTCCTAAAGTCTTCTTTCTCTGATCCCATTATTATTCATCTTCCCCTACACGGTGACCGTCCTCCCGGCGAGTCCTGACGTGCGGCAGAGAAGTGGGGGCCCTCCGCCGTCCAGCCAGGACCCGACTGCCGTGTTTTCCTCGGCGGCCGGTTTGTTTTTCAAGATTATCGACAAAATCCCGGCGTAAGGAGTCGCGGGAGACCGTTACACTCGCCGCCAGGATAAGTCAGGCGAGAGGATTGTCTTCGGGAGCGAGACGCGGCTTGGACTTGCCGCACGAAAACACAGCGCGAGCAGCACGAACGTGGCCCGCCGCCCGGCGCCGCGGCCTTGAATTTCTATGAGTGCACCGGTCGGGCGAATCAAGTCGGTGCATTTTCTCTTCGTGCTGTCGCTTGTTGTAAGTCGGACCTCGCCTGGAAGCACCCGTATGTAATGAATATCGTGATGGGGTGACACGGCGGTGGCGCCGATCCTGGTGACTGACAACTGCTCCCAGGATGGACTCAAACGACAGGGGACGAGCGCTCTTCAGGTGAGAAACGATGCAAAGTGCAGGGACGCAAAGTTTAGTTCGATTCGGTGCTCGTCAGCAATTTAGTTTGGCTGGCTGATGGCGCAGGGTTTGTTCTCTTTTGTTTTGCTTTGGCAATGCAGTTTTGCCTTTTGCTGTGCAATTTGCTCCAGGCCGGTTGGGTTTGGCAGTTGGGTTCGGCCGGCCACAATGCAGTCCGGTGTCCTGCAGGGTCCGGCCCGCGGAGTCAGCCGAAGGTCGACAGAAGCCAGCCGACGTCGGCGGCCGATGATTGATTTACTGCCGGGGAGAGTGTCGTGCGGCCCAGGCAGCCGGTCGCGCCGACATTGTTAGGGGGCTTCAAGAGCCGCCGACCGGAGCGACCGCGGGGGGGGGGGGGCGAAAAACGGCGTCCGGCGTCCGGAGCGCCGGCTGGTCGGGAGTTCGTCCCGCGCTCCGCCGCCGGCGGCATCCTGCATTCCGCCTAATTCCCTCCCTCCCCTCCCATTACAATTGGTTTTATGGTGTAACCGCAGGGCTGCTTTCAAAGGATGCGCAATAAAAACTGTCCACTGGCCCGTCACATGCTACTGGCTGATTCTTATCATGGCTGACATGAAACCTCCATTAGCATGAATTCAATACACAGAAAATGGAGGATCGCACGAGTAAGGCTCGATAAGGATATGACGTCACTGGTGCTGATAAATGCCATTTGACGTCACCGGATAGTATACGGCCCTAGACGCCTGTCTCCACAGTCGTGGGGCCAATTGACAATTCTGACTCGAGACTTAACGCTTTCCCTATACACTTTTAACTTCAAATCCAATAGTTTGTGTACCATGACAGGCCAGCACTGTGTTGCAGTTATAGCGTGACGTCACTATGGCCACTTAACTGCGGTTATCTGTTGCTATCGTCTGCGTGACCAACATCATCAACCGTCGGATGCAGTTCGCCGACATCGACAGAGCTCACTGTCACACGAAATCAATTTACTTCACCGCAATCTGCAGCACTTAAAACCGGTCGCTATCAGACGATATCCTGGTCCAATACGTTCTTGTCACAGGGGCCCCACCTCTTCCTCAGTACCCCTGTTTCCCTGTCCCCCTGTCCCTCTGTCCGTCTACCCCTCTGTTACTCTGTTCCCCTGTCCCTCTGTCCGTCTATCCCTCTGTTCCTCTGTCCCTCTGTCTGGTCTATCCCTCTGTTTCTCTGTTCCCCTGTCCCTCTGTCCGTCTATCCCTCTGTTTCTCTGTTCCTCTGTCCCTCTGTCTGGTCTATACCTCTGTTTCTCTGTTCCTCTGCCCCTCTGTCTGGTCTATCTATCTGTTTCTCCGTTCTTCTGTCCCTCTGTCTGGTCTATCCTTCCATTTCCCTGTCCTCCTGTCCCTCTGTCTGGTCTATCCTTTTGTTTCTCTGTTCCCCTGTCCCTCTGTCCGTCTATCCCCCTGTTTCTCTGTTCCTCTATTTCCCTGTCCTGTCCGTCTGTTCTCTCTTCCATCCCTCTGTCCTTCTGTCCTTTCTATCCCGCTGTCATTCGTCCTTCTGTCCTGTCTCTCCCAGCTGTTCCTCTGCTCCTCTGTCCCTCTTGTCCCTCTGCCCCCTCTCCCTCCATTCCCTCCTTTCCTCCATCCCTCTGTATTTCGTCCCTCTGCCTCCCCCTTGGTCACATACCGCCACCCACGAGCGACCGCGGCGGGGCTTCCTCAGCTGACACAGTGATGCATCGCTGTCTCCGGTGAAAGGTGAGCAAATAGTTAACTGTCTGATCGTGAGGGCACGGTGCGGGTAACGAGGCGAGTGGCACGCCGTGAGTGAACCATCGGCGCCGCACCATGACTGGATGGGCTCCGGAGGGGGGAGGGGGGGGGGGTGCACGCAGCGGAGTGGGGTCGGCCGCCGCTCGGTCCCGCGGGCTGGAGAGGAGCCAGCACTTAGACTCACTTAGAGGCTGACTGGTAATGGTGAGACAGAACGGTACGAGGGAGTGTTGTGTGGTTTCTGGTCGTGTCAACAAACTTGCATGTTGTTTTCTCTCTTTTAGCACTATGAACATAACTAGATTAGCTGATGGGTTGAAAGTTAATGTTCATTTGCCTTCACCCATCCGCTCTGTCTCTTGGGGGCTTTTATCAGAGTGGCTTAGCATACTCATAGTATGGCATAAGTTCAAAATGCTGTATTGATGGCCGAGATAGAACTACAGTGTGTTGCGTGGAGAATGAATGATGAGCTGGGCAGTGGATTGCTGATTTTGGTAGTGGAGAAGACGTTGAAGAATTTGATCATGTGGTGGGTCACCTTGCTGGTGGAGAGGACGTTGTGACTGCAGCGGATCGCCGACTTACCCTGGTAGTGGAGAGGACGTAGAGGTGATTCTGTTCAGTGTCCAGCTGAGTATCAGTCAGGATCGTCTCGCCACTGGAGACCGTCACCCGGCCGTACTCGCGGGCCTCCTTGGGTGAGCTCAGCAGCACCTGAAACAGCACGCACCTCCGGTCAGAAAGGAAAGCTACAGAGAACAGACAGGGAGGATAAGTCCATCCTGAGGAGTCCAGTCAAGTAGAATAAGTCGACACGTTAGTGGATTAACAATCTGACCGGCGGAAGACTTAATCAGCTCCGGTCACAGAGTCCATGTGTCAGTGGTCTGGGTCTGTAGGCGGACAGGGCAGACCCTCTGGTCACAGGTCAGCCGACACCACGGGTCAGCTCGGCGAGGTCAGTGCGCCGGAGACGCAGGGTGTGTCCCGACCCTGCCTGACACCATGACGGAGCGGCGTCGGCCCACGTCACCCCCCGACCGACACGGGTCTATCTGTCATCGGGCACGCACGAGCCGCCGCGCCGCGCACCGATAGCCCTATAAGGGACAATGGATCTGATCACCTACCCCCGGGAGCTCTCAGTTATTAAATTGTACATGATACACATCTGTTGAGCACAATCAGCCGGCATGATTGGCCTCATCGCCGAGCGGTCAGCGGTTGCGTACTGCATCATGTTGCATCAATAGCACGAGCGTCGTGCACGGGCAATTCACTTTCCGCTCGTTGAGTGGACCGTTACGCAAGTTAGGTCCGGTAATGAGGCATACTGACCTCACGCTCGGCCGGCGGTCGGCCGGCTCACTGACACGAGGCGCGGCCGCGGCCGACTCTCCAAAGGAGACCGCCGACTCGGAGACGGGCCGACGGCCGCGGCTAATCGGCTCAGAGGTCCGTGACGGAGCGCCGTGTCACGGCCGGCGCGCCTCTCTTCGTGACCCCGTCACGGACCGCGTGACGGACAGGGTGGGGTGGCGGGAGTGACACCGAGGGGTGCTGTGACCTGCCGAGAGGCTCTGTGCCTTTCCGAGGGGCGCTGTGGCGTGCCGTGTCCGTCCAGTTTCCCGGCCGGCCGGTGCCGCCCGACCCCAGTCTAACCCTCTCGCCGTCCGGCTGCACCGCCTACCTGCTGCAGCGCAGTCAGACCGGGGCGCCGTCTCCCTCCCTCTCTCCCTCTCTCGGAGGGAGAGTAGAGGAACGGTCGGTCTGCAGAGTGCAGGCCGCGCCATGCACCGGTCGACTGAGCTATCGGCCGACGCCGGCCGTATAGCTGCTCTCAGTGCACTGACAGGGCAGAGAGACCGGCCGGGCCCGGCCAGCAGACACGGCACAGGGACCGACCCGGCGCCGGCCAGCACAGCCGCGCGGGCACTGTCTGATGTCTGCAGTGTCTCGAAGTCCATTGCCTTCTGCTTTGATTTTGGATGGGGTATTGGCGGTTATAATACTTTTTCATAGTTGGACATTGTAACGATTTAACTAGAACTGTCGCACCTTCTAGCGCCGTTGTCGGCTGTGACACGCCGCACAATTTGTGAAGGCGTTCCAAAGAATATGCCCACATAAAGTAATGTAAAATATTCCCAATCCGAGGCATAAAGCGCAGCGGGACATGACATAACGCTTCACGCTTTAATCGCCCCGCCTAACTATTTTCCATCTCTATCAAAAATAGCTCGCCAAAGGAGCGTGTGAAGCTCGGGCCACTCCACCCAGCGGCTGTGGGGCGTCGCGCAGGGTGGGACCACCGCGCCCAGCCCACGGAAGGCTGATCTAATCGGCACCTTAATGAGACGCGCCGGCACCGGTGGGCACATCCGGCAGCTTTGTTCGCGGATGGCGATCACCGGCCGCTGTCTCATTACATATGCCGGGTACAAATTCCCCATCTCGGAGACGACACTTCTTTGAGACACCCGCTGCGCCCGACTGCGCTATAAGTCATCATTAGACGGTCAAAAACGGGCTATTAACATTCTGATGGGAGCCGCAGGCGGAGTTTTGCAGCTGCTGGGTGCGGATCGATCGACGCAGCGCGGCGCCCGATTGTTTTTCGTCGAGGATTAACCCGCGCCCTGCTGGGGGGGGGGGGGTGTTTGAACACCCCCCCTTGTGGTTTTTCGCGAATATCTCAAAAACGGCGGCGCGGAGCGCCGCCGTTTTTGGTACACCTTATCATACATCAATTCTACACATGTTGTAAAAATTTCAGCCCAAGGTCATTCAAGGTCAGGTCACCAGGTCACTTGAAGTGACCTCACCTCATAAAAAGTTTCAATGTCTGTCATAGCTACACCGAGTGACCGATCGCTTTGAAACTTTCAGCGATTGCTAAGAGCAATAGCATGTACAAAATGTATATCTCAGAATTTTGATACCGATGACCTAAGGTCAGGTCAATTTTGCGACCTCCCCATTATAAGTCAATGGGAGAAAATTGAAATGCGCCTCCTTGGGACGAAAGACATTATAAACACTCTCAAACACTGAATTACAAGTGGTTTAGACACACTGAACATGAAAATGGTGTCCGTGACCCCTGTTTATGCCCTGAGGTCATCTTAGGTCACGAATGGTATCTAACAGTTTTTCGCAAATAACTTTTGATAGAAGCATGCTAGAGCGATGAAAACGCCTTATATGTGTTCAGCTCGACGATACGGATCGACTGATATGCAACATGACCCTTTCCGGTCAGGTCATGACCTTGACCTGAGGTCAAATTTTCAAGTTGACCTTTCAAGGTCAAGTTATAGTTCATTCGATGCGTCTTGACGAGAGGAACACGATGCCGGTAAAAGTTAGCTCGTACAAGGCTTGGGTCAAAAGTTATTGCAGAAAAACTGTTTCCGAAAAAAATCGGCTATTTTTGCAGTTTTTGCCCCCTGCAGGCAAAACCGTTGACGTTAGGTCAAATCTGAGAGAATTACTCAGAAAGGGTGTTAATAGGGCTATCGAATGCGCTTTTCCGCGGCGCTGTAGCTCTATTGGTTCCCGAGTTATGCGTTGGCTTCTTGGAAATTGTCGACATTCGACCTGGAAATCGGCGAAATTTTGCCTTCAATGACCTCAGGTGACCTGACCTTTGACCTGACCAAAAAATTGACCGAAGTGATTTCTTCACTATTTTTGACGCTCTTTCGAACGCCGCCTTCCGCGTATCGCTACGTGGCCCAGGAGCCGAGTTAGAAGGGGGGGGGTGTTCAAACACCCCCCCCAGCAGGGCGTGGAAATCCAGGACCCCCAGCCGGGCGCGGGTTAACAATGAGCAGCGGCGAGATGTTATCTTTTTTCGGCGTCTCGGGCCGTTCGCTCGCTGTTTTCCTGATATCGTCCATAAAAGGAGAGTGACGTCGTGCCTATGACCTATGGAGCGCCGCTCGGAACTGCCTTTGGAACGCCGCTCGCAGCGGGGTCCTCCGCCGCCGCGAACACCACCCTGACCTCTTGGCTCCAATGGAGCGGCAAGAGAGTTGTCACTGGGTCTCTAAAGATGCCAGCGATAACTGTTGCCGGTTGATGTACCGTTTTTGCAGCGGCGTCTGCACCTGGGCGGCGCTGACTGGCGCTCGCGCTGGGACTATATGACACCTCTGAGAGTTCCGTCAGTGGGCGTCTGGAGGTAGCGGTCGAGCGGACAGCGCGTGTACCCACCCACCTTTCGCACGGAGCCGCGCCGGTCTCCGAGGAAGAGCACTGTGTGTCGGTGGACGGCGGCGCCCGCCACTGAACTCAGGCTGACGTTGTACTCGATGGCAGGGGTGGCAGTCAGTGGTACTGCGCCGGAGATACGCAACCCCACGGCGCAGAAGTCGAGCTCGGCGAGCGGCACCTGAGGGCGGAGACGCAGACTCGGTCAGACACTGAGAGGGGTTCAAAGGAATAAACGCGTGGGAAGCTGACAGCGCTGATGGAGACAGAGCCGGTATCGATGAGTTTAGGTGATTGTTTTGACGGCTGAACATGAAAACATCAGAGGACAAAAGGACAGTGTGATCCGATCGGGTTATTTTGGAACACTAACGAAGGAAGGTTGGGGCAGTAACGGTGTGCTCAGAAAACAAATGTAATCATCCCCGAGAAAAACAGCGAAGCCAAGGCCACTGTAACTCCTAAGAAGATGGTAAACCAAATTTCCTTTCCTTAACCTTTGTTAATGAACTAATGATGAACTTGTTTGATTTTATTCAGTAATAAATCAATCTATCCGCGGTGGCTGCGACTGTTTTCAGTCATCTGAAGTTTATTCTGAGGTTTCATGGCCGCTTGTTACCGGTCCGCCGTGGCTTTACCTCGGCTGCAACTGGCTCCCCTCTCCAACGCTCTACTGCGACTCCCCAGCGGAGGCATCTCGATGGGTACAGTCGGTTGACCGTCTCTCTGTCAGTCGCCGTGACCCGCCGTTGTAACACTGACCCCGGCCGCTCACCGGCGCCTCTCCAGACTCCCTGCCAGCCCACCAATCGGTGCAGCTGCCGTCCCATCAGCGCAGTCCTCTCCGTCATACCTATCGTCTGTTTCGCCACCTGATGCCATCACCGCCTTCTGGCAGCTCAATGCGTCAGTTTTCTAGGCTAGCGTGACCTTTTCAGGGACGTCTTGGGCAAATGTGCGCATATTTATGACTGAAACCGTTGGTATGAGACCCCAGCTCGCGTCCGTTTAGCCGTGTCTGCATGGCCGCTCGGCCGCTGCCTTTGTCTCCAGCTTTATGGCCGTTTTTATGCAGCCGGGTAATTTTGCGCGCCTCTCGTTATTTGTGCAGGCTGGTTGAGCACACGGGGAGTGGCCAGTACGGGCGTGCATGGTCAGAGCCAATTGTGTCGCACATACAGCCGGCCGCTATAAAAATTCACAGGGGACCCGGTCGTATTTTGTAGATAAATTTTGCGCTCAGTCGGTCTGAATGAAAAGGCCAGTCGTTGATGAGCCATATCAACTCTGAGGCGCGGCCGGTCCATAGTTCGTAACGTCCATCGAGCAGCCAGTCTGTGATTGTGAGAACTTAAATGGCTACAAACTGCGATTTATCATGGCTATTCGGCTTCAATACACTTAATTTCAAGGTGCAGCTCATGCGCTTTCTTGGCTTTGGCAGCATTGCTATTTAGAAAATACTAGCGATAGTTAAATTTAATGACTTTAAACCCTCAAAGTTCGTTTTGTCGCGTCACATAAGCCCTTTATTAACAGCGTCTGGCCGCATTACCACACAATACAAGGACAGGTGCATTGCGGGCATCTGATCGCCATTTTTACACCAGCCTGGAATGTGTCGAATAGCACACCAAGAAAAGAGTCTACTAAATAACAAAACTACCAAAACAACGAGCCTCGTACGACCAGAATGGGAATCTAAGCGATTAATGGCGGCGTTTTTACGTGATTGGTCGGCCATACACGGCTCCACCGGCCATCAGCGGCGGTGGCCGGCCTGCCGGGGGCGCTGCCGCGCGCTGTCGATCCTATCTGGGCTGCCACCGTGCAGGCCGCAGGCACAGGGTAGCAGCCCGGCGCGCCGCCGCGCCGCCGCCGCCGCTTTCCTGCAGTTCCTGCCCATTCAGACGAGACAGGTGGGCAGTGAGTTGTCCAATGAGAGGACCGAGCCGAAAAACGTTCCTGACTAGTAAAAGCTATGGCTATAGTTAGTCACTGTATAGACAGCGGACTGGGGATTCGTTTCTTTCTCAGACAGGCTGCAATGCTTTAGGGGAGGAATTACGCACTAGGCGCTGGTCTCAGATTATGCTGGATCACGGTATGTTGCTGGTTTCCGGCGCCGAGACCCGTTATCACCAACGGCGGTCTGGCAGAGTATAGGCAATGGACGATGTTTTCCGTGACTAGTACTGAACTCATTATAGCCCCTATTATCCATCCTAACGATGATGTCGCCGGCTGTGAACAATGAGGAGTAAACGGTATGAAATAGCGAGGAAAACGCAATTAATACCGTCCATATTACGCCGAAGTAATTGCGGAGTTACACGATAGCGGAAAACTGTCGCATTCATCAGTAGCTGAAGGGCCCCGGCTCCCGTGTACTACTGCGGGCTACTGTCCACTTATCCTGTGCTGGGACACGGTCGTTACGATAGAGCATGCATAGAAATGGCGGTCATAGCCACCGAACACGGCTGCTTCTGGATTATCTATGGATAAAGCAGCGCCTACAGGTGCCTTTTCCTTCGCAGTAACTTGTCAAGGCAATTGTTGGAGTCGTTTATTGATGTGCCTCATTCAAATTTACTGGAGGAGGAAGTTTGATAGGGCATCGATACATGTAAGTCCTACTTTCTACTTGCTGCCTTTTTTCGGAAGCGCCTTATCGCTACTTTAACAGGCTCCCTCGCGACCCTCCCGTGTGCTCCACTGCTGAGTTAAGCACTGAACTGCACACGTACTTCACCTGTCCGCTCTCTATCTATGAAGTCACCCGGGGGAGGGGAGACCTCGGTCACAGAACCGTGCTCTCTACCCATCAGTCCCCTATCTCTGACCTCTGCCGTGTCACTGACACGGAGCCGGTGTCAATCCGCGCCCTCAGCACCCGGCCTGACCATATCGCCGCACCGACACACCGGCAGCATATCGTAAACAAACGGAACGTGTTCGGAGCAGTGTCGTCCCGTTCGGGCGCCGCCGCCAACGGCCCATAAACCGGCTTATCTCGGTGCGGGAGCTGCTTGAGCCCGAATGGCGCCCGGGTATCGTGTGATATATTTTGTGCGAACATCCCGGACGCCCTCGGTCGTGAAAATGGCCAGCCCATGCAAATCGGGCTCCTGCATGGTCTAAGCCAAATGGACGGATCTCTTTTGGTGGGTTTATGTTCGAGCTGCTGAACAATATCATTCGTTGACCGGCGACCAGAATGAACTGCCAGCTGGGGCATTTTGCATGGTTTGTAGACTCATCGCAAGAAAGTGAGCCAATGCCTGATCACAGCTGTTGGGGTTTAAAGATTGCATAAGTATGAATGGTATAGACCATCCATTATTAATTAATTAGGATGTTATCAACGCAAGCAATGACATTTACTAATTCCTTGGTCATTTGCGAAACATCTCAGATGATCTCAACCAGCAAAACTCGCAGCGTTTCAAAACGGCTGCTGGATTCTTTACTGCCACCAGCTTATGGCGTACCTACCAAAAAAGTGTCACAGAAACTATCGAGTTTAATTGGGTGTTCGTAACGGGGGAGTAAAAAAGTTTAATCGCTACAATTTCGGGAACCAAAAACATGTTTTATTACCGACATGCGCAGACTGTGACTTCCCTCCGGCATACCAGCCGTCAATGTATAGACAGGTGCGTAGGCATCACAGAGGGCTTTGGTGGTCCTTCGACAAGCAATTAAATGATGGTTTTTGTGTGGACCGAATGTGGCTACCTAACCCATAAATCATAGCGCCTGCTTTCCTCATAAGGTGTGGCACAAGAAAAAGTATTTGGGGAAGACAATGGATCATGTTCGATGGCTTCCATAATGGAATGTTGTTCTGGGTACTGTGACAGCTCTTAGCAATGCCTACCAAAGCTGAGTTTTTCTGTTCATTAGTGAAGAGTGATGACATTTTCCTGGCTCCATTTTCCAGACAAGCAGCAACAATCAGATCGACGAAGATGTGCATATTTTCACCAAGTCATTAATTAGAAGCAAAAATATTTCACTTGCATTCAAAGTAGCCTAAAATAGGAAGAGAACACAAATAGCTGTGTCCTTCAGGTTCGTGATTAGTTGAGCAATGGCACCAGCCGAGGGGTACATCAAGGTCGTCAGCATTGTGTTTTGACTTCGAGGCATGTCATGTTCCTACGGGTGTGCGGTCCATTTTCGGCGTATCATCTCTACATCTTGGCGGTATGTTAGTTCCGCGAGAATGTCACGCCAGCACGGTGCTCGACTCCGCGGCCACCACGCATTCTGTAATCCTGGCGAATAAATGTGATGTCGTCACTTTGATGGTGTATGTGAACTATGCGTATTTGTGTGATTTATGTTGAATATTTGGTTTTGAATGTTTTTGATTTATTTGCACGATATTTTTAACGAGATAATCAAATGCTGGAACCCACAGACACTCAGTTGAAATTGAATAGTTTCTAGCTTGTATGTAGAGAGCACTGCATCATTTCTTATTCCTTGAGAGAACGGCATTGGTGTGCTGTCCAATATTCATATTCATAATTAAATATGCACAAAATATCCCTTTCATCTGTATGCAAATAAGAATCAAGGTGTGGTTCGGTCGTTGGTCAGTTCATTGGACACAGCAGTTCCACACCAGTTGGCAACCGCCACAGGTGCCAGTGGAATTATCATCCCATGTGAGCATTAGGAAAGGCCCCGCCGCCGTGTGTGCTCGTCAAACATTTCCACACTTAACACAAGCTACTGTTTTGCCGAAATTATGAATTGCAAATGGGTCGGTGTACAGGCCGGCGGTCCTGGGAGCGGGGACACCCTGTGTTCCCGGTGTAGGCACAGGGGTGACGGGCGGGCGGCCCACCCACAGGAGTAACGGGACCCGCCACCCGCCGCTCGGCTGCTGATGAAACCATAGAGACATGGCCACTAACGGTTCAGCTCAGCTACACAGAGCAACAAGGGCCACCGCATAAATCAAACGGTGACGCCTGATTATAATATCCAAACAATCAACATGAAACGGTAAAAAATACATCGATCGAGTAACATGTACTAAATGCATCGCACTTAGTGAACAATAAATAGTCATTGAAAACACATGGTTAAATACGGTAATAAATTTCGGTAAGTGCACAGTAAAGATAAATAGTTTACCAGATCATTGGTTATAAATCATGC